ATACCAAAAACAGTCATAATTTGTTCCTACATGACCATTTTCCAACCTCTCTGTAAAACAGGCTTTTTTTGTTACTGTACCTTTAAGACTGATATATGCAAATGAGCTCTGTCTTGATTGGATGCTCTGTATAGCTTCAGTATGAATAGGCAGGGCAGGCGAGAAAATGCAAATGAGTTTGTTTTTGTGACATGAGTTAAAAACTGGCTTGTTTATTTGAAAAAAGGGAGAAAAATATAGTTTTTCATGAGGCCCTTAAAGCTTTGAGTTGTGGATGCTGGTTGTTACTGAGGTCACTGAAAATAGTGAGAACAGTTCTCACTGTGAGCATAAAACTAGAACTCTGGATTATGTAACTCTGAAAGTGCCCAAAAGGTAAGAGCACACCTACACAGGCACAAACTCATCCACTTCTACAGCAGTGCTGTTATATGAGAGCCTAGCGGGGCGTTTTTTAAACATGATGCTGCCTCACAGAGTTTGAGCAGATTTATTATTATATCGGAGGGCCGGTACTGTGCACGGTCAGTGAATGTCGAGGGAAAATAAGTTCATCACTGTGTCTAAAACATAAAGAAATCTTTGTTTTTCAGTACTTCACTGTTTAAAAATGCTCCATTACTGTGAAACCTGTAACTGTTTACTAGAGAAAATGTTAGCTGACTATGAGAGGTTTTGTGTTGTTAGTGTGAGTCTTTTATAAATCGTACTATGATTGTATGAACTTGTTGGCAGGTTCAGCTGTTTTCACTCTGCTTGACTTGTGTTTCTTGTATTTGGATCTGGAGAGATTTCGTTTTGAGTCTTGAGTGTTGGTTCAGATTCTTTTGGTCTATTGAATTCATCATTCTAAAAGTTTATGCTGCATAGCTGTGATATCAGTGTGTTTGGGCCCCTGTGTGTGGCTCTTGAGGTTGAGCCATGTGTTTGCCCCCTGTGGTTAGACCCTCTGAGTTTAGCCCCCAGGTCTGTCTGTCTTTTGGTTGAACCTTTCGTGATTGTCCCGTGTCACCCAAGTGTTTGGCCCTTGTGTTTAACCAAAGTGAGATTGACTCCTGTGTTTGAATGAAGTATATTTGGCCCCTGTGTTTGACCAAAGTGTGTTTGGCCCCTGTGTTTTGGCCCTTGTGTTTTGGCCATTGTAAGTTTGGCCCCTCTGTTTGGCCCTTGTGTTTAACCAAAGTGAGATTGACTCCTGTGTTTGAATGAAGTGTGTTTGGCCCCTGTATTTGACTGAAGTGTATTTGGTCCCTGTGTTTGACTGAAGTGTGTTTGACCCCTGATTTTTGGGCCATGTGAGATTCGCCCCTGGGTTTTGGCCCATTTGAGTTTGGCCCCTGTGATTGGTGCTGCTCTTTGGCTTTGTCTCTGAAGAACAGTGGCAGTGCTCAGGTTGCCTGGCGTTAGTGTGCCGTGTTAATATGTTCTGTGTCCTGACGGAGGTGGAATGTGTGAATAGCAGGTGCTGCAGCCTGAAATAGAGGGACAGAGCTGGGGGTAAAGGAGGAATGATGTTGGAGAAGAATGACCTAAAGGCCTCTGGAGCTCCTGCTGTGCCTTACAGTCATCGCTTTGCATATTCTCAGATCTTCTGTGTTTTAGGATTACTTTAGGTAACTTTACCAAACTTCTAGTCCACGTTCAGTAGGCTCCGCCCACAAATGTGTTTTTGTAGTTACTGTTGTGAGATTGGACAAGCTATACAGAACGCTAATAATAATCAGAACACAACCCAGTTTACATCACTATGCATAAATGTAGGTATTGTGATATAAACTGAGTCTGTTCTACAGTTTCTCATTAGGCTGAATGAATAACCAACTCTAAATGTAGGTATTGTGATATAAACTGAGTCTGTTCTACAGTTTCTCATTAGGCTGAATGAATAACTGACTCTAAATGTAGGTATTGTGATATAAACTGAGTCTGTTCTACAGTTTCTCATTAGGCTGAATGAATAACTGACTCTAAATGTAGGTATTGTGATATAAACTGAGTCTGTTCTACAGTTTCTCATTAGGCTGAATGAATAACTGACTCTAAATGTAGGTATTGTGATATAAACTGAGTCTGTCCTACAGTCTCTCATTAGGCTGAATGAATAACTGACTCTAAATGTAGGTATTGTGATATAAGCAGATTGTCAATGATCCAATCATGCAATATTTATGGAAATAAAACTGGCATTAATGCTGATGTCACAAAAAATATCAAACTATGTCAAAGATCATGTGATGTGGCGTGTGTGTTGGCACTGGTCTATTTTGAATGCTTATATCATGGCCACACTCCCCCAGCTGCAGCTGGTCCTCTCTAAATGTGTTCTGGCTGTAACTCGAGCCCGGGTGAGGATTAGCATCACGCAGGCTGATCAAGGTTATACAGCGCGCTGTCGCTGATTGGTATCACGCTGCAAATCATTACCTGCTGAAACAACACGACACACACACCATACAGCTGATCCATAACACACATGAAAGATAAAGACAGAACTGCGGCACAGGAGCAAAATGTTTTGTTAGAATTGTCATTGTGGGTTTAGATTACAGGTGCATGAACACTTCCACAGTCGGAACAAAACCTTGTCTCCATTATCATTATCTTATCTAGCTCCTTATCTCCATTTTTGAAGTTTTTCAGTTTTTGACATAATTTGAAAATGCCCATTGTCCTTTGCATTGTATGCAAATTTCATGATGAATGGAAGAAAAGAAACAGCCCAAAATTACTTGGAAAGAAATCTGGTTCCATTGACTTACATTAAAAGTAAAGTACGTTTTTTTCTTCTCCTGTAAAGTCACCATTTTGGAGATAGAAGGTTTTGTTCCGACAACAGTGAAACGAGTATTTAAAGTAAAAATTAAATTTATGTAACCCCCTGTTCATATAATGTAATCGATCAGCCAAGACGTTTGGCGTCTGACTTCTGCCTTTAGTTTTTCGCGTTGGAGCTATGAGGCTAATGTGATGGAAGCTTATGAGCCCCATATTAGTGTTAGCATTGTGCTATCTGTATGCCTTAATCATCACATACATGCCTCAAAGGGTGAGGAGGTGTTCGCTGTTCTCTAATAGACTTGATTATGTAGTTTCTGACACTTTATGACTCACTGTTATCTATAAACATTACATTGCAAAGTTTGTGTGGCTAAGCTAATCAGCTTATGTTTTTTTCATGTTTTTTTGAGACGTTTGAGCATAATGTACATAAATTTTGTGAGTAATTACTTTGTCTGAATGTAAGCTTGGAGTAGATCTGTAGTGCCTTTCTTTTTGTTCTTAGCCGTGTAGGCTTTAGCATGCTAACTAGCAAGCTAGCAAAGTAAAGTGATGTTATCAGCAGCGTAAATTATTTTACTGCTATGGTTTATAAACAGCTTCATCTACCACTATTTTCTGCTTTGAAAAGGGAAAGAGTGGCAGATTGCAATGATTTCTGGGTAAGTTCTACTGCTCGGTCTCTCGCCCCACCGAGGGCTCATCAATAAACCAGCAGTGGAACAGCTGTTAGGATGGTATAGAGGGCAGTTAAAACTGGTATTGAAACAGGCAGACAGTGTCAGTATGTCATTCAGATGCTAACAAATGAGCTACCATTTCTTGGGCCTCTCCAATGAAAAACCATATACCCAAATAGCTGCATATATCGGCCTCCTGGCTTCATAAGGTGGCACTGACTGTTTGCCACTGCTGGTCTACCCTTGGACCACGCAGATTACTGTCCTGCACACAAGATCTAACTAGTTTAAATCTCTTCAAACAGATTTTAAATGCACAGAGACTTTGTGGAGCTTCTTGCTGTACAACATTGTGCAAACCTTACCTGCATGAACTGACCCTCCTGATGAGGGTGCTGCTGCACAGACTCAAACTATCTAATTATAACAATTGCTTCACCTGTTTTTCCCGTTTCTGTATTTTAATAGTTCCCCTTTTGAGTCTTGGTTCCTCCCAAGGTTTCTTCCTCTTGCTCTTAGGGAGTTTTTCCATTGCCACTGTCGCCATTGGTGACGCTCATGGGGACTCAGACCTGGATTTTTATGGAAAGCTGCTTTGTGAAAACACCTGTTGTAAAAAGCGCTTTATAAATAAACTTTGACTTGCCTTGACTTTTTTCTTGGAAAATAAACTAAGACAGTTATTACAAACAGCTAGGAGATAAAAATTTATGACTAGGCCTGATATAAAATGATTTAGGTGAAAGTGCTGTTGCTGACACTGTGCTAGATTGGTTACAGCTGTGTAAGCGACTTTATTTATGATATTACTGTTAAAATTCTTTACGAAACTAATTTACAAAGAATACCAAAAAATGAAGGAAAAATCAGTAAATTGGACTGTGAGAGGAAAATCAGCCATTAAAAGCGTGCCAGTGGGCCACCAGTTTTGCCATCAGTGGACGAATAGTGAGATCTATCAATCTTTTTTTTGGATTATCAGTTATTTTCTTGTTTTATTTTGTACAAACTTTTACATAAAAAGCCGGACTATGCTTTTTTCATGTTTTATTGATCACTTTATTTTAATACAGGGCACCCAGCAATGCCAAACCATGCTTATATGATTTTTTACAAAAAATGTTGCATATCACTGCTGTTGGAACAAAATCTCGTATCTCCAAAATGGTAACTTAACAGGAGAAGGAAAAAACATTCTATTCTTTTAATGTAAGTCAATGGAACCAGACTTTTTTCTGGGGCCGTTTCTTTTGGTCCTTTCATCATGAAGTTTACGTACAGTGTAAAGGTCAAAAGGCATTTTCACATTATGTCAAAAACTGAAAACAGGTTTTCTTCCGACAGCAGTGATACACTGTTTTTCATTGCAAGGGCTCACTTGTTAGCTGCCTTAGCCTCATAGCTCCATTGCTAAGACTAAAGAAGCAAACTTCAGACAACAAACACATCTTGACTGATCATCTGTATTTCAGGTAAAGGGGAAAACTGTGATTTTGATTTTTGTTTTTTTTATCGCTTTATCATTGTTTATTGTGAGTGTAGGAGGATCAGGTGGTGCTGCAGTGCACGGCGACCATACTGAAGGAGCAGATCAAGCTGTGTCTGTCCTGTGAGGGATTTGGGAATCGCCTCTGCTTCCTGGAAACCACATCCAATGCTCAGGTACTGACTCTCAGCAGCAGATCTGATCAAACGTTTGGGGACACTTTGTTTTTTTCTTTTAAACTTTCTCACTGTTGCCTTTCAGTGAAGTACAAAAACATCCCTGTAGTGGTCTAAAGGTGGTTTAAAGGGGAATTCCACCAGTTTTTCAAAATTTTTGCACAACTGAGATGCAAACAGAGAGATTCAGAGTGGTTTGGTGTGAAATGGTTCAGATGTCTTTACAGTGGTGGTGATAGGAACCAGGGGTCGCCATGACTACAACACAGATATAGACATTTTATTTACTATCCAGAACCACCAGTGAACCTACACGAGTCTTCTGAGTTTATATGGAATGTTGATGATGGAAAATAGTGGAAAATCTGAAATAATAAGTTTTCTTTGGGGACTATTTTGCCTCACAGCGCCCTGCATGTATCCCTCCACCATGAATGGAGTTTAAGTGCTCTAAACTATCATAAAACAGTGTCTCAGTCATCAGGCAGTGAATTCATAACCATTTCATGTAGGAACTTTCTGTGAGGGAGCTTTTAGAGATGGACGTCTGGTTCCTGTCACCACCACTGTGAACGGTTCTGACTCTGTAAGTTTATCTAGAACAGAGCGTTTCACACCAAACCACTCTGAACCTCTCTGTTTGCAGCCTATCCACTTAATTATGCAGAAAATTAAATTTTTTTAAACGTTTTGCTATTGTAAAAGATCTAAACAGCTTTCTAATTAACATGGTAAATTATTGACAACTGACAAAGAAAACGTAATAATTTATATTAAAAACATTTTATAATCCAGGTGTCCCCAAATTTTAGTGCTTTCATATATCAGCAATGTTGTTTTGTCTTTCAGAATGTGCCGCCTGATCTGGCTATCTGCTGCTTTATCCTGGAGCAGTCCTTATCGGTCCGCGCTCTTCAGGAGATGCTCTCTCACACCAGCGAGGTGAGCACGCGCAGAGTTTAATACGTTTTAAAAGCTGCATAGCACACAATATATATGGTATTTGTATATATAATGTATTTTTTACATTGCCCTGATTGTCTCCGTTATTAGAAACGCCTACCTTGTACTTCTATTAACTTTATTATAAACATCCACCTTGTGCTTCCACTCACTGGCCACTTTATTAGAAACATCCACCTTGTGCTTCCACTCACTGGCCACTTTATTAGAAACATCCACCTTGTGCTTCCACTCACTGGCCACTTTATTAGAAACACCCACCTTGTGCTTTCACTACCTGGCCACTTTGTTAGAAACACCCACCTTGTGATTCAGTTAGGTTAGGATTGAAGATTGATGATTCCATATTAGAATTTCTAGTTTGTTGCACATTATCTTTTATTTCTAATGTTGCTCTCGTGCTTCTCCTGGTCAGGCAGTGGATTTGGATAAATGGGTATGTATGGGTGTCTGTGTTGTGGTGATGAACCTCACTGTGTGTTTCTCTTTAGTTCTGTCTGTTTTCTCCTCACACTGTACTTCTGTTTTTAATAACAGCACAACAATAATTACATTCACACACACACTGACACACACACACACACACACACACACACACACACACACACACACTCACACACACACACCAATGGTTCAGTATTAATCTACGAGAATGTATCTATGTAAACAAGATATGACTGAGGTCATAAAATAGTCATAATTAATTTTTACGTGAATTTTCCAGCCTCTCTTTATCCCTCAGAGTTAAACAGGCTGTTTCTGTTCCTTTGCCTTGAAGACTGATATATGTAAATGAGCTTTGTTCTAATTGGCTGCCCTGTATTGTGCCTCATTTAAAAAGTAGTCCAGGCTCCTTATAACTTCAACATGAATGGGAGGGGCTAAACTGCTGTAGGCTAAATAGGTTGCATTAGTGACCACAAAATCAGTGAATTGAAAATGGGCTTAATTTTTCATACATGGGCTAGAGAGTGAACAGTACAGTCTGGAACAGTACATGCTGAAATGCATTTATTTTTTTAATGAATTGGGCTCTTTAAGTCACACTGTGCTCCAATGAAGACATGTCAAAACTTATTAATCTGAACATTTCATTACTATCATAAATACAGACAAACACCACACCTTACAGCTTCCTTTAATCACTCACTCAGATCTCATCTGTTTCTTACTTATATTTCAATAATTTCAATAATTTGCATTATAAAGTTTTCCTTTAATACATGATAGAACAACCCTTTAATCCTTCTTGTTCACATTTCTTTGTGGTGTGTGTAATTCCGGTTTGGTTAACCCAGATTCAGTCACCTGCGCTCACTGGTCCACACTAATCATGACTGTGGTGGCTCTTCTGTAACCGTCTGTACTCTTGATCTCGTTCTGTGTTATCGACTCAGTCTCTTGCGAAACATTATATTCACCATGTATTACTGTGGGCTTCCTGATGGCTGCACATTCCACTGAGTGATAAAGATCTCAGTTTGCAGTATTTGTGTTTGTTCCTAATTATTCCCAGTCATCACAAGGCGGAGGCCATCGGACGCTGCTGTACGGACACGCCATCCTGCTCAGACACACACACTCCGGCATGGTAAGCCCTACACTTACACTCATATACACACTGTATCTATATACTGTATGTCTCTACTGCACTCTTAATAATAAAGGTTCATACATTGTAGGGCTGGGCAATATGAAAATATACGCTATATGAACAAAAGTATGTGGACACTTCTAATTACTGAGTTCAGGTGTTTCAGCCACACAGATTTCTAACAGGTGTACAAAATCAAGCACATAGTCTTGCAGTCTCGATAGACAAACGCTGGCAGTAGAGGGTTGCACTGAAGAGCTCAGTGACTTTAAACATGGGACTCTCATAGGATGCCACCTCTGCCTCAAGTCAGTTTGTGAAGTTTCTGTCCTGCTAGATCTGCCCCAGTTAACTGTAAGTGCTATTATTGTGAAATGGAAGCTTCTAGGAGCAACAACAGCTCAGCCACGAAGCGCTAGACCACGCAAACTCACAAAGTGGGGCCGCCGAGTGCTGAAGCGCACAGTACCTGTCCCCTGTTGAATCACTAATGAGCTCCAAACTGCCTCTGGAAGCAACATCAGCGCTAGAACTGCACATCCGGAGCTTCATGAAATGCTTCAGCATACCAAGAGATTTTGGACAGTCTTAGGCCGTGTTCAGACTGCCAGCCCAAATCTGATTCTGTCATATCCAGAGTCTGGATTGTTTTGTGATAGTCTGGCCAGCAAAAACCACATGAAATCAGATTTTTGCAAGTCGGATCCAAACCTTATTTGGAGGTGGTTTGAAATACTACTCCAGTCAGATTTTTACAGACTCGTCTCAGTCTGGACGTTCTGGACGATCAGATTTTAAACTGTCTTTTGTGTCACTTACAACACGACAAACAACAATGTCAAATCCAGAGTGATGAAGTGCTGGGATTCAATAAGAGCTCCAAAGATTCATGATTATGAAGAGAGTTCTGAAGAGTTTGCTGGGCGAGATGATGCTCCTCCTTCTCTCCTGCATCCGTGTTTGAAATCCGCGTCACCAGCGTAGCTACGTAGTTACTGACATATGCGTCATTACCATGGCAACCCATGCAGACAGACTGATCTGATCACTTGTGAATAACAGAGTGGACAGTGGACTCAAAAGATCTGATCTGAAAAACGAATCCAGTTCGCCTGCAGTCTGAACACAGCCTGAGAAAGCTTGAATCGAGCAATGAGGCTTTTAATGTGAGTGTAGCCTAACAAGCATCATCATTTACACTGAAAGGTTACACTGAAATTGCTACTGCCGTTGATTTAAATGTTAATCCTCTTGGTTATGAAGTCAGCACAGCTCTTTAAAAATGAAAGAATCATTTATACGATGCCTATTAAACTTTGTGCGTTAGTGTATGCATAACATAATCTAAATTGTGAACCTATTTCGCATAGATGAAGGAAAATTTCATGCTTGTTTTCCATCCCCTTCAAATTACACCCATGTATACAAGCATTATGTGGAAGGTTTTTTTGTGGTGAGGCGCAGAATAACTTTTTAGAACCTTATTTAAAATTTAAAAAGGTTCTTAACCGTTGCACACTCATTTGTATCTGGGCTCCGGTCAAATAGTGTATCTGTGCAGTAGGCCCATTTTGCTAATCCCTCCCTCCCTAAAGTAGCACGCTATAATTAATTTAATAAGTAGGCTATGTTTATTTTGGAAATCACCTCTCACAAAGAAATTGCGAAGGGTGCTATTATATGATTGCAAGTTGTTTTAATTTGTTTGCCATTGCTTAATCTAGCAACTCCTTTACTTACTTTATATTTAGGTCTTTCATTTTGATTTCATAACAAGGTACTAGGTCTGAAGAACCTTGTTGCTCTAACTCATAGGGGAACCAGCTCAGGATCTGTAAAGAACATTTTAAGGAGAGGTTCTGTTTGAGAAGGTATTATAAATAACCATTAAGAATCAGAACATTTTTAAGAGTTCTTTGTAGCACCAGCCAAAAATAGGTCTTCCGTGGGATTGCTCCACAGAACCTGGTTTGGTTCCACCTGGCACCTTTATTTTTAAGAGTGTGAATACGTTCACACAGACACACAGTCCCGTATCTCTTTCCTCTGCGCTGTGTCTGTTTCGCTGGTTTATACGGCTCCTCTAAAGGATCCTCTGAGTGATTTATGATGTTATATTTGGGATGATGTTTGTGGAGATGCTGATTTCCTCTGATTGTGTTTCAGTATCTGAGCTGTCTGACCACCTCGCGGTCCCTCACGGACAAGCTGGCCTTCGACGTTGGCTTACAGGAGGACTCGACAGGTGCCTTACACAGTGGAACGTTTTCACATCGAACTCTGTGTTGCTAAAGCACGGACTGCACTCTTTAAAAAAGATGGTTCTTTAAGGGTTCTTTAGTAAAGACAATAAACCATGAACCCTCAAAGAACCATGTGTGTGCTTAAATGGATCTCTGCATGGTGAAATCGTTTTTCAGATTGATCGAGAATGTGTTGTATGTGGTTCTATGTAGAACTTTTTCGAAAAGGGTTCTCTATTGTACCAAAAAGGGTTTTTCTATTGTTACGATATCAAGCTTTTAATAATAACCCTTTTTGGTGCTATATAGAACCATAATCTGAAGAACAATTTCACCATGCAAAGAACCATTTAAGCATGCAGACAGTTCTTTGAGTGTCCATGGCTCTATATAGAACCACTGTTGTTACTAAAGAACCCTTGAAGAACCATCTTTTTTAAGAGTGTATGTCAGCACTGTCACTATTGATTATATTTATTATGGTTGTGACTCACTGTGATTCACCCCTAACAGTAGTTACTGGTTTTCACTGGTATCAGTGACTGATTTTCATTGATCTGTTTCTCAGTGTTACTCTGATAGGACTCTTAACAGCCATCGGTTATTATTAAGGGGTGAAATAATTCTGAAACCGAAACTACAATACAAACGTCCACGGTCTCGTGTCGCGGTTCCATCTCCCAATGATTGTAATTTACAATCATTGTAAATTACACAATTAACACTACACACTTAAAATTTTGGCTCTTCAAGCGTCCTTTAGTAAACAAAATGGTTCTATATAGGAACTTTTTGAAAATGAGTGTATGTAGCACCAAAAAATGTTCTTCTTTTGTTATAAGCTATTCATATTTCTCTTGTTTTGTTATTGTTTTGCTGTCCGATGCAAAACAAGAGTCTTGGTTCCTCTCAAGGTTCCATTCCTCTTGCTCTGGGGGAGTTTTTTCTTGGCACTGTCATCCTTGGCGATGCCCATTTGGTCTCGGACCTGGATTTTCTTTAAAGCTGCTTTGTGATGTTGCCTGTTGTAAATAGTGCAAAAAGCTTTTCAATGGTTTTAAAGCAGTTGTAAAAAAAATATAAACAATTAAGTCTCAAAGGCCAGAAAAATACAAAAACAAAATGTGTAGAAATGTGTGACTCAGTCAGGCTCTGTTTCTTACTGAAAGAGAATTTCACATGTACATTATCATCGTGCGAACTGCCCATTCATTGAGAAGGTACGTTTTAATAAGTAACAGCCCTAGAGTGTGTAAGAAGTGGCAGGTGTGTCTGTTTGTACGACAGGTGAGGCGTGCTGGTGGACCATCCACCCTGCATCTAAGCAGAGGTCTGAGGGTGAGAAGGTCAGGGTGGGTGACGACCTCATTCTGGTTAGCGTGTCATCCGAAAGGTACCTGGTAAGTATTTTAGAAGAAAATAAGTAAATCTGGTTGTTGAGTGAGACACAGTGTGAGAGGAGAATCATGAGCAGCAGGAATTTGTCTGCAACAGCATCAGTTAGACAAAACCTGCAGGCATCGTCTGGTAGGCCAGTCAAAACACAGCAGGACTGATAGCCGCCCTGACTGTGTCACTACTGGCCTTCTGAATGCCGTCTTTTGGAGAAGGTGAGATGTGTGTGTGTTTTCACAGCACCTCTCCTACGCCAGCGGAGACCTGATGGTGGACGCCTCCTTCATGCAGACGCTGTGGAACATGAATCCAGTCTGCTCCGGCTGTGAACTGGCTGAAGGTACGAACACATGCAGAGCTAAACCCAAATAGATGACAATTACATTATTAACAGTACAAAACAGTATGTGCTGTGTTAAGATCTTGTTCTTTCAGCTGAATATATATATAAACCGATCAGGCATAACATTATGACATTATCCTTGTTTCTACACTCATTGTCCATTATATCAGCCTCACTTACTATATAGGTGCACTTTGTAGTTCTACAGTTACAGACTGTAGTCCATCTGTTTCTCTGATACTTTGTTAGCCCCCTTTTACCCTGTTCTTCAGTGGTCAGGACCCCCATGGACCCTCACAGAGCAGGTACTATTTGGGTGGTGGGTCATTCTCAGCACTGCAGTAACACTGACGTGGTGGTGTGTGTCAGTGTGTGTTGTGCTGGTCTGAGTTTTTAAACACTGTGTCCACTCACTGTCCACTCTGTTAGACACTCCTACCTTGTCAGTCCACCTTGTAGATGTAAAGTCAGAGACAATAGCTCATCTGCTGCTGCACAGTTTGTGTTGGTCATCCTCTAGTCCTTCATCAGTGGTCACAGGACGCTGCCCACAGGACGCTATTGGCCGGGTATTTTCGGTTGGTGGACTATTCTTGGTCCAGCAGTGACACTGAGTTGTATAAAAACTCCAGCAGCACTGCTGTGTCTGATCCACTCAGACCAGCGCAACACTCACTAACACACCACCACCACTTCAGTGTTACTGCAGTGCTGAGAATGATCCACCACCCAAATAGTACCTGCTCTGTGAGGGTCCATGGGGGTCCTGACCACTGAAGAACAGGGTAAAAGGGGGCTAACAAAGTATCAGAGAAACAGATGGACTACAGTCTGTAACTGTAGAACTACAAAGTTCACCTATACAGTAAGTGGAGCTGATAAAATGGACAATGAGCGTAGAAACAAGGAGGTGGTCAGAATGTTATGCCTGATCGGTGTATGTGGTCACTCATATTCAGCACACTTTGTAACACCCATTTCATAACAGATGCGACGCAGCGTGTGTGTTAATCTGGAACCACTCTGTAACACTTGTTCATTTACACCGGACGTGACACGCGTCGCGAAGCAAGAGCGGTTGCTGTTTGTGTTGCGCTTTCATGTAATATAAACATGTGTATTATCCATTTATTACTCATATTAACTTTATGTAGATGACAAAGAGATCAACAATGAAATCTTGACCAGCTGCTATGACTGTTGTTCACTTTCTTACCAGGTGAAATAGCTCTATATGAAGAGGAGGAGATGCTGTGTGTTCACAACATTAACCCACTGAACAGATTTCTATCAGCCTGTCTCAAAGAGTTAAAACTAGATTTGTTGATTTGTTTATTAGCCTAGATTGTATATTATAGCATAGACATTGCATTTCTTTACTGTTCCTGCATAGAAACGTCAGAAATAGAAACGTCAGAAATAGAAACGTCAGAAATAGAAACGTCAGAAATAGACCCCAAGCATATTTTTGAGTTTCATGCACGTTACGTTGCACCTGGTAAACACACCTGGAGAAATTAGTTAGGTCTTGGGGTCAGAATATCTCCCAAACTACAATCAAACACCACCTATATAACCTCAAGTTGTTTGCCAGAAGAAGCATCTGCTCTCAAGGACCAACAAACTCAAGCTCAGTTTGCCAGATGTTGCTGAAACTTTCAGTGGGCCATGTTTTATGGTCAGATGAAACCAAAATAGAGCTTTTTGGCAAAAACACCAGAGGTGAGTTTGGTGTAGACACAAAGATAGACATGCAGAAAAGTACTTCATCCCCACAGCGAAGTGTGGTGGTGGATCAGTGGTACCATGGGCTGGTTTTCTTCCAAATGTCCTGGGCAGTTTATTGAGATACAAGTTCAAGAGGCTTTATTGTCATTTCAGCTATGTACAAGTACAGGGAAAGGAAACAACATTTCTCCAGGACCAACACAGGAGCACAAGTACAAAACAACACAATATACACAGTGCAGACAATACAGTACGATAAATATGAAAGATTTACAATAAATACAAAAACAGAACACAGGCAGTACACGGTACCGAGAATACGTAGAGCTGTGCAAAGCAGGACGTAACATACTATGACATATTAGCAGATAGCCTAGCATATTTGAGGGTAGCAGTCACTGAGGTAGCAACCAGAACAGCAGCAACAGAATTAAGTATTCAGTTGATACAGTATTCTAGTAGCAGATATTGTTAAAATAAAATGTGCAAAAATGTAGTCAGATATGAAGTATATTAAGAAAAGTGAAGTATCACAGACACCATTAAGTGCAAGCAAAAATATAATCAAATCCTGTTTCAGCAAGGACGCTTAAACTGGGTCACAGTTTGGATCTTCCAGAAGGACAGTGATCCAAAACAAGTCTCATAATCATCACAAAAATGGTTCACTGGCCACAGAAAGATTTTGCTCTGGCCAACCCAGCCCCCTGACCTAAACCCCAGAGAAAACCTGTGGGATGAGCTGGAGTTAAACAGCATTTGTGGAGGACACTGTGGCTAACAATACTCAAAAAAGAGAATGAACTTGAGACTGAAAATGTGTAAATATGATTTTTGTCAATTGCTGTGTTGTGTTCTGACTCAGGGTATCTGACTGGAGGGTATGTGCTCCGCCTCTTCCACGGGCACATGGATGAGTGCCTGGCCATTCCTGCTGCTGACCAGGGGGACGACCAGCGCAAGTGAGAAAAAGCACCCGAACACATTCACACACATATACACCTGCAAACTCTGTTAATGTAATCTTAACATGTCTGCTGTGTTTGAAATGCTCAGAAATGCCCATTATGAGGGAGGCGCTGTGTGCAGCCATGCAAGATCACTGTGGAGACTGGAGCCTCTTCGCATTGGGTGAGTGATGTGGGAGCAGAGCAGTACAAGCGTTTCAATTAGAGTGAAAGTAGCTACAAAAATTAACTTAAAAAAAAAACAAAAGTCTGAGATCTCTCCTGTAGAACTGCAGTGAAACTTCTTAAGTGCATCCAGCGTTCATCGGCAAAGCCCAGTGGTCACAACGCAAATGTTAAGAAGAGCCATTTTGTCCTTTCAACAAAAATCAAACCACCTTGGGAGCCACAACATGCAGTTTAACTATGCAGTTAAAAATTGCCGGACAAAGGAGTGGGAGGGCGTAGTTGAAAGTAATCCAAGTCTGAGGCTACAAAGAGCTGCAAGTACGTACAGGAGTGTGAAAATGTGTCAAGATTAGGATAAGTTAAATAATCTTATGTATGTTCTGACAACAATCCCATAGTGAGAATATAGACATATTGACTGTATTTAAGATGCTTTCACTTGCTGAGCTGTCATTTTAGCAGGAGATGAATAATAAGTAAAAGTTTTAGCATTTAAAAACACTCAGAAAAGTGCAAATCTATTTGCTCAGTGAGTATGAAGAAATTAGTTAATGGCACCAAATGTTCCCTGTCATGTCCACAGGTGGAGCGGCAGTCACATTAAATGGGGTCAGGCCTTCAGAGTCCGTCACATCACCACAGGGAGGTACCTAAGTCTGGACGACGAGAAAGGACTGCTGCTGGTGGATCCGGAGAAAGCAAACACAAAGAGCTCTGCCTTCTGCTTCCGAGCATCAAAGGTCAGCCTTTCAGACCTACAGAGCAAATGCTGGTTCTAGATACAGCCTAGAGCAGCCTCAGTGTTCCAAAAACACATTATTTTCCTCATACTTTTCATTTCTATTCATCCTCTGTCTGAAACACTCTGTTAGAGCTCCTGTGTCTTTAAGCCCCGCCTCCCGATGAGCCCAGTGTGCTCTGATTGGTCAGCTCGCCCGGTTTCAGGCAGCTGAGAAAGAGCTTTGGGGCTTTGCAGAATGTTTACATGCACAGAAAGCTACAACACAGTAAAGGAAAGAGGAAAACTGGAAAAGCACAATAAAGGTTCCTTTTAATGGCCTAAAACAAGGGCCTTACAGTAGTGTGATATAATTTTCCATAAGCATCTTGTTTAAATATGCAATCAATAGACACACTGCCACTGCAGTTTAGTTACAGTTCAGCCAAATCCATGTCCGCAAAACCAACTCTGGAGGCTGTAATGAACTTAAACTAATCTTGAAATCAGACATATGTTTTGGAAAGCATCTCAGGCGGCTTCTCATGAAGCTGCTTGAGGGAGCGCTGCATCAGGGCACAGAGAGCTTTACACGGAAGTGCTTATTTAAAATGTTTTGGCCACTGCGTGACTTCATATCAATCAGTCAATCAATCAATCAATCAGTATTTGAACATTAGGTACGTTCCGTTAATGTTACATTAAGGGTGACCCTCATTTACAGTGTTGTAGAGGCAATACAGAAATCATGGTTTGAAAAAATTAGATTTTTTTAAAATTAGAATATAAAAAAAAAAATCAAATGCTAAAATAATAATAAAAATCATAATAGTGAATTTTAAAATAAAACATTAAAATAAATAAATCACAACAATAAAATTACTTAACTACAAATTAAATGACAAAAATAAATAAATTTAATTAAATAACAATTAACTAAATAAATAATAACCTAATGACAAAAAACTGATCAAATAGGGATAAAATAATATTTAAATTAATTAAATTAATAAAATAAATAAAAAATAGAAAATGTAAAACAATAACTGCAGTAAAAGTTGAAAATAAAATAAATAAAAAGAATAATAAATGTCAAACAATAACTAAAACATAACAAAATCATATTAATCAGTATTACACTGCAGCTAAAAGCAGGTTTTCCCAGTTCAGTAAGAGCTGTTTGATGATGGTGATCTGTGTGTGTGTGTGTGTGTGTGTGTGTGTGTGTGTGTGTGTCGGAGCAGGAGAAGACTGAGGTGGCTCATAAGCGTGATGTGGAGGGGATGGGAATCCCTGAGATAAAGTATGGCGAGTCCATGTGCTTTGTCCAGCATGTAGCCACTAGCCTGTGGCTGACCTATGCCTCTGTGGACGCCAAGTCCGCTCGGCTCGGCCCCCTGAAGAGGAAGGTACGGACTTTCGCCTTCTGTCTACCCGTTTATTCCTCTCTGCAGTTTTATTCGGACAGTTATGGAATATTAGTGTTTGCTGTTGTTTACAAATCACACAAGAGTTTGTTAGCTTGCTGTCAGTGTTTTAGTTTATATTCCTGTATAATCATAATTATAAACTGCTCATAAAACAAAAAACGTTTTCTCACAGTTACTTTACGAAAAATGGAAGGAAAAATACCCTCAGATCTTGTCGCCAATGTTAAAATTGTCTAAACTCTCAAAAGCCACATTCTTAAAAAAGATGGTTCTTCATGGGTTCTTAAGTAAAGTAGATGAGTTCTATATAGACCCATTCCATGCTTCAGTGGTTCTCTGCATGGTGAAATCGTTCTTCAGACACATGGAAAATGTGTTGTGTATTGTTTTATGTAGAACCTTTTTGAAAATGCTTCTATGCAACACCTAAAAGCGTTCTGCTATTGTTGGGATGTGAAGCTTGTAACAATAGCAGAACCCTTTTGGAGCTATATAGAACCATTTTCAAAAAGGTTCTATATAAAACTGCGTACAAAGTCAGGCTTGTAACAATAAAAGAACCTTTTTTGGTGCTATATGAAACCATTTCTATAATCCTAACCCTAACCCTAACCATGTACAATGTCAAGCTTGTCAACAATGTCAACAATAGCAGAACCTTTTTGGTTCTGTACAGAACCATTTTCAGGAAGGTTCTATATAGAACCATATACAAAGTCAGGCTTTAACAATGGCAGAACTTTTTTGGTGCCATGTAGAATCATTTTTAAAAAGGTTCTCAGAAGAACCATATATGATGTGAAGCTTGTAACAATAGCAGAAACTTTTTGGTGCTATATAGAACCATTTTCAGAAAGGTTCTGTATAGAACCATGTGTGCATGTGTGTTGGGCTTGTAACAATAGAACAACTTTTCGGTGCTATATGTAACCAATTACAACACATTCTCAATCAATCCGAAGAACAGTTTCACCATACAAAGAACCATTTAAGCATGCATGGTTCTAAATAGAACTGTTGCCTCTACTAAAGAACACTTGAAGACCCGTCTTGTTTTAAAGGGTAGGCAGTGAGAGCCAGTATTCACACTGTATACGTTTATAATATAAATGTACAGCTGAATCTCCATCATAAACGCTGTAGTCGACAGTGTAAATGGTTATAAAATGTGTTTAACATGTTTCTGCAGGCGATTCTTCACCAGGAGGGCCACATGGACGACGCGCTGACCGTCGCTCGCTCTCAGACGGAGGAGTCTCAGGCCGCCAGGATGATCTTCAGCACTGCAGGACTCTTCACACAGTTCATCAAGTACACGCTCACACGCTCGACATCATGGGGCAGTTTATTAGCGTATCTGGAGTCTTTATGACCTGCGACTCAGCTGACTGAGTGTTTACAGAGCGCTGAGCACCTGTTAGCTGGTGGGGGGAGTTTTACATGCAGTGCTAATTAAACCTAACAGGGGTGTCAGTAGATGTTTATGGATTGGGGGGGCTAAGCCTGTACTGAGGGGTCTGGGGGCACAGTTCCCTAGGAGAATTTATTAATGGCCCCAGAATGTCTGCTCATCATCAACTGTTAGAACTTTTTAGAGCAACAGCCAGAAAATGAATCATTAACTGGCCAAACTGGCTTACAGTTGGCTGACATTTAGCGTGACTAAACCCCCTTAAATCTGCCCCAGCGATGCCCATGCTAACTAATTAAAAGTTGGACCCACTTTGAATGCTTGAGATGTGTGTCTATGACAAATATAAGTAGTGAATTTTATTTTATTTATTTGTTTTTTATTTTTTCCACTTTGCCAATGGGGTAGAGGGAGGGGCCATCCTACTCACGCAGAGAGAGCGAGGCCAGTTATGCTCTCTTGGGCTCCCAGAGACAAATGGCTGTGGAATCAACTGGGGATCGAGCTCATGATCTCCTGACAATAGGCAGTGACACTTGGGAGCCCATTAATGACTTTAACGCCAGAACATATTTTTGTACAAGTGATACATTTTTTACATCACTTCAGTTCTAAATGCCACCCTGTCACTGATTTCATACTTGTTTTAATAAGGAGTTATTTAAATAAAATTTATTATTATTATAATAATTATTATTTTTATTAAATATAGAGGTCTGTGCTTTTGTTTGCTTACATTGTCTCTCTCCTGCAGGGGTCTGGACTCTCTGAGTGGGAAAAATAAAACGCCCGGTCCTCCTCAGTCGCTGCCGTTGGATGCTGTGGTTCTCTCTCTGCAGGACCTAATCTTCTACTTTAGACCACCAGAGGAGGAGCTGGAGCACGAGGAGAAACAGAGCAAACTGAGATCTTTGAAAAACAGACAGAACCTGTTCCAGGAGGAGGTTAGAAACACCCACACATACCTTGCTGACTTAATATTTAGTTATTAATCCTAAGGGTAGTGACTCATGATCTACTGTGAATTATTCACCATCTACCGTGAAACTAATGTATACAAAAGTGAAGAATTATGGTGTGGACCCTTAGGCCTTGTTCAGATTGGGAGCCCAAATCCAATTTCTGTCATATACAGATTGTATCCAGATTGATTTTTGATAGTCTGAACAGCAAGAAACACATGAAATCAGATTTTTGCAAATCAGATCCAAACCACATTTGGAGGTGGTTTGAAATGTGATTCCAGTCGGATTTTTGCAGATGTGTCTCAGTCTGGAAACTCTGGCTACAGCACTCTGTATCAGTAATGCTAACCAATCAGCACTCAGAATCAGTAATGCCAACCAATCAGCACTCTGTATCAGTAATGCTAACCAATCAGCACTCAGTATCAGTAATGCTAACCAATCAGCACTCAGTATCAGTAATGCTAACCAATCAGCACTGAGTAGCAGTAATGCTGACCATTCAGCACTCAGTAGCAGTAATGCTAACCAATCAGTGCTCAGTAGCAGTAATGCTGACCATTCAGCACTCAGTAGCAGTAATGCTAACCAATCAGCGCTCAGTAGCAGTAATCCTAACCAATCAGCGCTCAGTAGCAGTAATGCTGACCATTCAGCACTCAGGAGCAGTAATGCTGACCATTCAGCACTCAGTAGCAGTGATGCTAACCAATCAGCGCTCAGTAGCAGTAACACTAACCAATCAGCGCTCAGTATCAGTAATCCTAACCAATCAGCACTCAGTAGCAGTAATGCCAACCAATCAGCACTCAGTAGCAGTAATGCTGACCGCTCAGCACTCAGTAGCATTAATGCTAACCAATCAGCTCTCAGTAGCAGTAATCCTAACCAATCAGCTCTCAGTAGCAGTAATGCCAACCAATCAGCGCTCAGTAGCAGTAATGCTAACCAATCAGCGCTCAGTAGCCGTAACACTAACCAATCAGCGCTCAGTAGCAGTAATCCTAACCAATCAGCACTCAGGAACAGTAATCCTAACCAATCAGCGCTCAGTAGCAGTAATGCTAACCAATCAGCGCTCAGTAGCAGTAACACTAACCAATCAGCGCTCAGTAGCAGTAATGCTAACCAATCAGCGCTCAGTAGCAGTAACACTAACCAATCAGCGCTCAGTAGCAGTAATCCTAACCAATCAGCACTCAGGAACAGTAATCCTAACCAATCAGCGCTCAGTAGCAGTAATCCTAACCAATCAGCACTCAGGAACAGTAATCCTAACCAATCAGCGCTCAGTAGCAGTAATCCTAACCAATCAGCACTCAGTGCAGTATTGTCAACGTTCTGCTGCCCAAAACCTGTTTGCCGTAGAAAATAGGAAACATACAGGTAAGATTGTTTTTTTGGTGAAATTCTAAAATCTAAAATGAAAGTAAAGTTCTAGGCTGGAGATTAGAAACTATTTTTAATTTTCGTTTTTAGGCGTTTAGCTCCATTCAACCACATTCATTGAGGACTCGCTCACGGGCGCCCTCTAGAGTTTATCAGTCATATTTTTGATCTAACCAGGGAAAAAGGAAGAGCATCACCATCACCAGCAGAGCTACGTAGTTATTGACGCCTAAGTTGTTACCACGGCAACCCATGCGGATAGACTGTATGGACACACAAACCTAATCCAATCACTCACAAATAACAGAGCAGACAGTCGACTCGAAAGATCTGATCTGAGAAATCTGATTTGTCCGCAGTCTGAACCCAGCCCTACAGTTTGGGGCTGAAAAGCAAACACTTTTTCACACACCTCTGTTTCTCTCTCTGAGATAAAGCACTTATTTCTCACAGGGCATGATCTCCCTGGTGCTGGACTGTATTGACCGTCTGAACGTGTACAACACAGCGGCTCATTTCTCAGAGTTTGCTGGAGAGGAGGCCGCCGAGTCCTGGAAGGAGATTGTTAACCTGCTGTATGAGCTGCTGGGTATGAGCTTCTGTATACATTCACAGCTCTGCACTACAGACAGACTGATACGGTGTCGTCTAAATGTCCTTTAATTTTGACAACCAGTGATAACTTTGTTCCAAAAACATGCTAAAAAATGTCTGTCAGTTTGTTCAGCGCTTTGTAACTGTTTCAGTTCAAGTTTATTGTAAATACACAAGTTTTGTAGTATACAAGTATATACTGTAGTATATAAGGGTCAATGACAAATAAGGTTTTCAAAATGACAATTTTTAAAGAGTTTATTGAAAAGGATATATATCAAATATAGTGAGTGTTATCAGAGCTTTAACTTCCTGTTTCGGTTATTAAACTGTGCTGGTCTGGTTGCTCCATCTGACTGACTGGTTGCGCCGCCTGACTTTTCAGACTAATTTCAAATTAATCAGGCATCTACTTAGACACCCGTAGAAACCTTTATTCTTCAACTTGAGTTTATACTTAAAATTTTTCAAATAAATAAACTTTATTATAATAATTCCACATTTTCATGGTTCTCCTGAGGTCAGACCACCTGACATGGTAAACTGAACCGTTCTAGCCGTGACTCAAACATCACACTTTACTATATCTGTGACATTGGCGCTGCACCATGAAGGTCACTTGGGGTCTTCTTTATGATGCAGAACCCTGGCCCCTCTTTCGTAAAAGCGTGTCAAAGTAAAAGTTCTTTGTTTTTGGTTGTGCTGCCTGGTATTTTAGGAAGTAAAAACTTGTGAACAAAAGTTTTTCAGTGAGTTGAGCACTTTTAAAATTGCCTTAATTTGGAACTTGGTTTTTATTTTAAGGTTTTCAAACATAAATCAAACTATTTCCTTCAGAATTTTATAAATAAATTACCTTTTTGATAGTTTACTTAATCAGCATGTATGGTTGGACGGTTGCACCCACTGACACTTTTAGACTTGTGGAGGCAAAAATAAACTAAAATGAATTTTATATGGATGCACTGAAATTTTTTTCACATAAAAAAGGCATTGTTGAATAATTTGATATGTTTTTTTTTTGGGAAAATAATAGACTTCGGGGAAAAAATATATATATGTATATACGTGACATAGAGTGAATAAAGGTACTTTTGTCTGCGTTTGTTCGTTCCAGCGTCTCTGATCAGAGGTAACAGGGCGAACTGTGCTCTATTCTGTGATAATCTGGACTGGCTGGTCAGCAAACTGGACCGACTGGAGGCTTCTTCAGGTAGACAAACCTGCTCTAAAAACAAACACATGGTTGAGTCTTTTCACTAAATGAAAACGGTTAATCGCTATTCACATAACACAATAAACCACCTTGTAGATGTAAAGTCAGAGACGATAGCTCATCTGCTGCTGCACAGTTTGTGGTGGTCATCAGGAGGCTGCCCACAGGACGCTGCTGGCTGGATGTTTTTGGTTCTCAGTCCAGCAGCGACACTGAGGTGTTTAAAACTTCCAGCAGCACTGCTGTGTCTGATCCACTCGCACCAGCGCACCTATTCGTCTCCTTTTTGTATTTTAGGTATTCTGGAGGTCCTGTACTGCATCCTGATCGAAAGCCCTGAGGTGCTAAACATCATCCAGGAGAACCACATCAAGTCCATCATTGCTCTGCTGGACAAACACGGCCGCAATCACAAGGTCAGGGTCATAGACCCTCACAGTGTATTGTCCATGGCTGACCTTTTGCTGACCCTCTGCTTCCCCTGCTGTAGGTTCTGGATGTGCTCTGCTCTCTCTGTGTGTGTAACGGTGTGGCTGTGAGGTCCAATCAGAACCTCATCACAGAGAACCTGCTTCCAGGGCGGGACCTCCTGCTCCAAACCAACATCATTAATTATGTAACCAGGTAAACGTTTTGTAGAAATAGCCATTTTAGCGTCCAGATTGTGTTTGAGATCGTTTTATTGTTAGTAATAGTTTGATATAATTGAGTTTTTATTGAGTGAGAGAGGAAACAGGAAAACAGGACAGTGCAATGTAGCCATCCAGTAATACAGATTCTGGCGTCCATGTACACAAATATAAGGCAGAGTAAATGAATAATGAGACAGACTGAGACAGAGCATGTTTACACTGTGTCCTTAGATAAACAGGAAGAGCTCTTTAATAGTTCAGGACTGACAAGCCAACAGATCAAATTTAATCAAATTAAATCAAGCTTTATTGGTCGCACACACCTATACATAAGTGAAGTGCTTATACGTCCGTTATAATGAAAAACAGAATATACAGTAGAAGAATATAAGGTAGGAATATATAAAAGAATATAAAAGATGAAAAATATAAAAATGCCAAAAGTAAAAAAATATAAATGCAAAAAATAGAATAAAATATAAAATAAAAAATAAGGTGGTGTAACAGTTAATAACCAGTGTAGTTTCTAGTCTGACAGTTAAAGACAATAGAAAATAAAGATGTGTTTTGCCTCTTGCAGTGAAATACTTAAAAAAAGAACATACAATAGAAAAATAATATAGGAAAATAAAGGGAAATAATATACATTTCTAAGCATATATATATAAATTGTCTAATGCACAAAAATATAAGTATAAAATATAAAAAATCTAGGGTTATCAGTTGGCACATATTATTTGTAATGTTTAATAAAACACTAATTTTGCTCATTTTTTCTTAAAAGCTGTGAAAGTGAAAATGGTAATAATAATTATGATACTAATAATAATAATAGTAACATTTTTAGTTAATTCAAGACATAAGCAGTCAAACACACTGTACATAAAGAACACAAACTAGTACACTTTCCAGTCTAATATGACAGTAAAAGACAATAAAAGACACAAAGACGTGTTTGTTTTGCAGTATGAGGCCGAACATCTTCCTGGGCACGTGTGAGGGCTCCACTCAGTATAAGAAGTGGTACTATGAGCTGATTGTGGATCACGTGGAACCGTTCCTGACGGCACAGGCGGGTCACCTGCGAGTCGGCTGGGCACTGACCGAGGGCTACAGCCCCTACCCTGGAGGAGGGGAGGGGTGGGGCTGTAACGGGGTCGGGGATGACCTTTACTCCTACGGCTTTGATGGGCTGCACCTGTGGTCAGGTGAGGGAGTCATTCACACTGCCCATCAGTGGTTTTGGGACACTCTACCTCCTTTAGAAACTATAGCATTACTGATTTTCACTGTATCCCCAGCCTCTCCAGGGCCAGTGCAGAGTCTGAAATGTGTGTTTAACTGTCCTCAGTGATGCTCAGCTGTTGTATCTCTGTTCAGGTCGTGTTCCTCGCCAGGTGGCTTCGCCCAGTCAGCACATCCTGGCAGCAGAAGATGTGGTGAGCTGCTGCCTGGATCTGAGCGTGCCCAGCATCTCCTTCCGCATTAACGGCCACCCGGTGCAGGGCATGTTTGAGAACTTTAACCTGGACGGCCTCTTCTTCCCTGCAGTGAGCTTCTCTGCTGGCATCAAGTAAGAACCTGCTGTACAATCTAACATGCTTTCAGATCAGACAGGGCCAGAATACCTGAGGACCGAAATATGAAACACAAATGACACATAAAATTACTGTATTAAACGAGAAGAGCACATTAAATAGCATAAGCAGCCGTTATTGTTCCACCTTAACGGGTTAATATTTCCTGAATTTGCTCCGATAAGGAGTTGGTGCTGAGAGACTTGCGGAGCTGCAGCTGCTTTAGTTTCTCTCTTGAATATTCACTGTAATGTTCATGTTGTATTTCATATCTGTTGATATTAAATTCAGTCTTTTGAATTATGAAGCTCATTTGCTGCGATTCTCGATGAAAGAGTTCAAATTTCCATCTAAATCTGCGGCTCTCAGTGTTAGTTGAGCTTTATGGCTCAGTCTGGACTAAATGTGGTCAGTAAATGAAGCTGCAGGTCAGTCAGAGAAGGGATGCTCTTAAACTTTAGCTACTTCGTTACCGCAGTGCAGCGTTACACTGTAATCTTACAGCACTGCTGCCCCCATCAGGTGAGAGGAACAACTGCAGTGAACTGGCTGGCGGACCACTCATAACACACTGTAAAATAGAAGACAGGGGCCGATTAAAATCTATCTGAGGGCTGCATTTGGCCCTGGGGCCCGACTTTGTACATGCCTGATCTAACAGGCATTGATATGTTTTTTTAGAATGCCAACGTTTATAATAGTCCTAAAATGATTTATTTGAACCCTAAGATCATATTCTGTGGCATCATGCACTCTTAAAAAGATGTTTTAGCACCAAAAAGGGTTCTTCTATTATTACAATGTCAAGCTTGTTACAATATAAGAACCCTTTTAGGTGCTATATAAAACCATTTTAAAAAAGGTTCTATATAGAACCATATACAGCACGTTTGCCATCAGTCTGAAGAATGCTTTCACGATGCAAAGAACCCTTTAATCATGGAAAGGTGTTTATGGTTCTATATAGAACCATTTTTATTACTAAAGAACCTTTGAAATATCATCTTTTTTAAGTGTGCATTTTATAAAAAAGCTAACATTATTCATTAGAACTCCTGCATTATTTATTAAAGTATCTGCATAATTTATAGGAACCCCAGAACAATTAGAACCCCATGATGTTCTAATGGAACCCAACCAGTTAAGCAGATCAGTTGTGTGACCATTGTGATGAAGTTAATGAGTGATTGTGTGTTAAAGGTGCTATTTGTTCTCACCTCGTTCTGCAGGGTTCGTTTTCTCCTGGGTGGTCGCCATGGTGATTTTAAGTTTGTGCCCCCGCCGGGTTACGCCCCCTGTTACGAGGCCGTGCTGCCCAAAGACAGGCTGCGCATCGAGCCCATTAAAGAGTATAAACACGACTTTAACGATGTGCGGAACCTGCTGGGCCCAACGCAGTCACTGTCCCACACTGCCTTCACGCCCAACCCCGTGGACACGGTGCAGGTACGACCCCACTGCAGCTAGTGCTTAAACTCAGTACGTGAGGCCACACTTCAGTTCCTCACTCATAACTACAGACCGAGTAAATGTACGTTTTTAGTACTCGCCGATACCAAATCTGATACCATGCTGAGCCGCCAACTTAGAATGAAGTAGCTGTTAGTGTAAATGAGTGAAATGTACCTTAACAGTTAAATCATTAAATCTATCTGATTTTAATGAAGTGCGTTAGCTCGCTCTGCTACATCAGTGATCTCTGATCAAGCAGCGCTGCAGTGGAGAAGAACGGGTTCTCTTCTCCGTCAGAAAAGCTCTTTTGTACAGCTCTAAGTAAAGTAGCTTTCATAGTTTTGATCCTCATCTGTCTCTTTCAGCAGCAGCATCACAGGATTCAGCAGGAATCACATCCGAGGCTGACGCATCCGAGGAGCTCATGCTTCCAGTTTTCTGTCTTGTTGGAATCTTTTGATTGGCTAGTTGAGCTGTAGCTGAATGTCTTTTAAAGCCAGACAGACTCTGTGATTTTAGAAATCTTGTTCTTTGGTGACTCTCACTGTCCGTTTGAATAGACCATCATGTTCAGACAAAGCTACGATTTATTTACTCACACTACGTTTGAATAGACTGACCTGCTATGTGACACGCAGCCTCTGCAGACGCTCTGCCTACAGACCGTTATCAATAAACTGATTCACTCTATGGTTGATTTTTCCCGAATTCAGCAGCAGGTTCTAATGACCAGTATGGTCGCTGCCAAAAAGGTCATTCTTTCTTGTTTTAAAAGATGGCTGTCTGAGATGACACACATTGTCCAGATGGAGAGACTGAGATGCTGTGATAAAAAAGCTCAGAGACATTTTCATTTGATGTGGAATAAGTTCTTGGACAAGTTAAAGGGACCTTAGTTATGTTTTTCTTTCATCCTCTTCCTCCTTCCTTTTTGGTCTGGATGTTGGATTGGGATGTTCATGGTAGGACAGTTCGGTCTCTCTACAGCTTAATTTACAAACACATCACTGTATTAATGTTTATATCTCACTATTCTAGTCAGTCAAATAGAGTAATGTCACATATACAGGCTTTGGTAGCAAATGTCGACTTTTTCTCCTCCGTTTTGTTGGCCTGTGTGTCTCCACCTGTGTTGGTGAAGCGGTTGTGATTGTGTGTTTATAAACAGGATAAAATTACACAGTGTATCCTGGTGGGAATCTACTAAGGCGGAATGTTTAAAGTGACGGCTTTGTGTCCAACTGTGATGGAGTCAGTAACTCTTCTCTGTGTGAGCAGATCCTCCTTCACAGAGTTTGTTCATTAGCGCTGCAGCTAAACTCTGCTTACGGCACACGGTATCAGCTAGTATCAGATGTTGGTATTGGTGCATTTTTATGAGGCTGAGTAAATGAGAACCATATCGGGCTGATACCTGTTACCAGTATCAGTATCGATGCATCCCTCATTGCTTCTTAACAGTTTATAGCAGAAGTTCATATTGTATAGTTTTGGAATTCTGGGGGGGGCACCCAGGTGGTGAGGGTATATTTTATTAATTTTTATACACATTTGACTCAAGTAGTTCAGTGCTTTGTGTTTTTCAGTGCATATTGTCTTTTTTCGGCTGAGCTGTGTTTTCCTCTGTGTGCAGATCGTTCTTCCTCCTCATTTAGAGCGGATCAGAGAGAAGTTGGCTGAGAACAGTCATGAGCTGTGGGCCGTCACTCGCATCGAGCAGGGCTGGACCTATGGACCAGTGAGGACATACCCTTTCTATAAAAACATACAGACAATAAAATTAATTACCTTTCGAAGTCTGTAAAGTTCATGATTTTTAAACAGTGTTTTAAACAGATTGTTCATTGTCGTTCTGTTTTCTGCTCTATTTATTACGACCGATACATGTTTGTTTCCCATTAATTCAGTTTCGTGATGATAATAAGAAGCTGCACCCGTGCCTCGTGGACTTCCAGAGTCTTCCAGAGCCGGAGAAGAACTACAACCTGGCCATGTCTGGAGAGACACTCAAGTTAGTGAGAGGATGTGTGTGTGTGTGTGTGTGTGTGTGTGTGTGTGTGTGTACTAGGGCTGAACGATTTGCGAATACATATAATAACAATTTTTCTGACTAATATTGTGATTGTTAATTAAATGCAGTAATTTTCTATAAATTAATTTCCAGGTCTTTTTTTCCCCAAAAAGACCAGAATATCCATTTTTTCTGCCATGAAGCTTGAACGCTGAGTGAGTCAGACAACCAGTTAGTTGTGATGGTTGCAATGTCACATATACAGAACACAGGTGTTTTGTAGCTTCTGATTGGTCCAGCTCATCTATAGGCAGCTTACAAGCTCTGTTCAGTGTTATTAGTTTAATTTTTTCCATTTAAAACTTGTTAAGACAACGTTGTTGATGATGTATAATAAAAACTGCAGCTCTTGCGGTTTGAAAATTACACTCTTTCAAACTCCGATTTCAATATAAAAACGATTAATCTTTCAGCTCTAGTGTGCACCAGGTTTATGCCACGTTGTGGAGACCAAAACCTGTTACACTACACTAACGTTGTGGGGACCAGTCTTCCTTGTGGGAACCAGCGTAAATCATAACATTTTAAGGTGAAGGCAAGTTAAAGTTAAAGTCAGGGTAAGGTTGTTAGGGTTAGGGTTAGTAGTAGTTATGGTTATGGTTTGGGTAAGTCTCCAGAAAATGAATGGAAAAAACAAACGTGTGATGTGTATTTATCTCCTTGTGGGGACCAGCTTCCTCCATGAATTGCTACTGAGTAGTTTATAGCTGTTCATATTGTGTAATTTTGGAATTTGTTCAAATGGGACAAAGTATACTTGAGTGGCTGTTAATATACTCAGGAGGCCATGTATAGCCTATAAATGGGAAACTATATATTGTATATTTTACAGTGCTGGGGACATGAGTCTGCTCTCCACAAGCTAAAATGCTTTTTTCCCCAAAAAACTGCATCTTTCTTATTAGTAAAAGAGGACAAAGCTGATCTTTTGATTGCTGAGATTGAGAAGAGATTACATACACACACACACTTCAGCTTATTCCTCTGTTTCTGCTCTCTGTGAAGAACTCTGCTGGCGCTGGGTTGCCATGTTGGAATGGGTGATGAAAAAGCTGAGGAAAACCTGAAGAGGACCAAACTGCCTAAAACGTGAGTTTAATCTCACTAATACAGGTTGTTGTTTCTCTCGTAGTCTAACATCCAGCTAACGCTGTAACTCTCAATCTCAGCTACATGCAGAGCAACGGGTACAAACCTGCTCCTCTGGATCTGAACCACGTCAAACTGACCCCCAACCAGAACACGCTGGTGGAGCGGCTGGCTGAAAATGGACACAACGTCTGGGCCAGAGACCGAGTCCGGCAGGGCTGGACCTACAGCATCGTACAGGTATCTCTCCAGTTCTTATGAGAGTGTGAGAATGTTGGAGAGAAAGTCAGGTAAAGAAAGGAAAGTGACCAAGTCAGGTGACTGTATAACTCACCATGACTCACCTGAGATATTTCTGACTGAAGTGTGGACACCTCGTTGTGGTGAGTCATTTTTCAGTGTATTTATACAGTCATGCATGACAAATCATAGTATCTGATATTTTCAGTGCTTCACATTTTTAAAACCACTTTATTAGAACACCGAAGTTGTAGCTCCACATTGCTGGTGTATGGTTAGAGAGTGTAGCTCATCTATTAGCCATTCTCTAGTGCAGGTGTGTCAAGCTGAACCACTAAGAGGGCCATATTAAAACATCTCAACAAGTCCGTGGCCAGAGAACGCCTGTTTTTATTCCATTTTTAAGTAACATTTTGCTAAAATCTGAATTGTCCATTGTTTATTCAAAATGCGCCAAGACATGAACAGCAAAATATAGGCACTTCTTTTAAACTTTAAAGTTGCACTATGTAATATTTTCATTAAAACTGAAAGAAGTGTCATTAATGAGTGAGGAGAATAAAAACACAGTAAAATATAGTGAGTGTGCTGTTTCGGCCCCAAATGATCTCAAAATCAACATCATACTGGTGAAGATGTGATGATAATAGATAATTTACTCACTGCCTCAGAAGACGCTCCTTCACCAAGTTTAGACTGAGTTCTCTTTGAATTCTCTTTCAACTCACTCGCAAAAAAAGTCAGATTCATCCACTTGTGGGGTCCAAAGCACAACCGACATTACAAAATGTTGCGTGCAATTACATGTTTCCACCACAGAGGGCTCCAAATCCCCAAATCCTACATAGTGCTGCTTTAAACAGTGCATTAATGCGTGAAATGTTGTAAAAATTACACTAAAATTATATTTTATATTATGCATTAATATATATGTATACACGCACACATGGCATCGTTACTTTGCTGCAAATTCATTCATTTTTGTGATCAGTTTCTGAGCTGCTGAGTGTTTATTTTGGTTGAACTGCAGTTAGTATGTTTGGTGATATGACTGATATGAAATTGTGTAGAGCTGTGGTGTAACTGCTGTCCCATAGGTTGTTGTTGGGGGGGGTGGGGGTGGGAGCACACATTACATTGCAGTGCATGCTGGGGATTGTAGTGCAGCACTTTCTGAAACGGGCTAATGTTAACAGAACATCAAAATAATTTTGCAGGCCAGGCGGGATTGTACAGAGCTTGTGTTTTACATATGGGCTCTAATCTTTCATCAGTGACCAGTTTTTGACCACAGTGCTGCTCTTAGTTGGATATTTTTGGGTGGTGGTCCACTCTCAACCTACTAGTAACACTGAGTATGTAAAAACTCCACAGCCTGTGTCTGATGCACTCGTACCAGCACAACACACACTACCATGTCAGCGTCACTGCTGTGCTGAGAATGGACCACCACCCGCATAACATCTGGACAAGAGTAGTCAAGAAGCTTACCAATGATAAACGAGATAGAGGGGGTGCCGTAACAGTCAGTAATTACAATCTGTAACTAGAGATGGGCAATATGACGATATTTTATCGTTACTGTAATAAATATTGGTATCGTGACCTTCAGTACCCTTTTCAAATCGTGGATAGCATCTGTACTTAAGTAGTACAGAAAGTACTGGATGTTTCATTACATAGAGAGCATAATTAGTCCTGTTTAATTAAATTTATAGTAGTCATTGTCAAAAATGCTGAATAAAAATAATGAATTAAAAATCATGTTGCATTTTGTCTGTGTGTCATGATATCGTGGTACATATCATGTATCCTGAAAATGTCTTTAAGTGTCGTGATATGATATTTTTGCCATATTGTCCACCCCTGTCTGTAACTGTACACCTGTATGATGGACCTGACCTGTAGGTGGAGCTCATAAAGTGGTCAGTGAGTGGACGTACAAGGCAGGGATTGCATTAAATAAAATATGAGGTGCAGTTTTCCTCGAGGCTTTGCCGCTGATATCTGTGTTATGTTTACGTTATTAGGATATAGTGAACAAGCGGAACCCTCGCCTTGTGCCTTATAATCTTCTGGATGAGAAAACTAAGAAGACCAACAGAGACACAGTGTGTGCTGCAGTCCGAACCCTCATCGGCTACGGCTACAACATCGAGCCTCCGGACCAGGAGAGCAGTGAGTGTTTGCCTAGCTCTGTCACAGATTGTCTCATGAGGGACTCGTAACTGGTCTCTGTTCTTGGAGTCACATCAGTGTCCTGACTGTTACTCCACAGGTGGCCACGGCATTGGTGAAAGCAGCAGCCATAAGATCAGAGTGTTCCGGGCGGAGAAGTCGTACGCTGTGACCCAGGGGAAGTGGTACTTTGAGTTTGAGGCAGTGACGGTGGGGGAGATGCGGGTCGGCTGGGCCCGGCCGAGCGTCCACGCTGACAGAGAGCTCGGCTCAGACGACCTTGCTTACGTCTTCAATGGCTTTAAGGTAGTGAGGATCATGTAATATGGATTAGACTCTCCTCTGTAGTCGGGGTGGACGGTATTTTATCATGACATGACAAATTATAACACAATACAACCCTGGGCCATAGCTAGAACCCTGTAGACGGTTGGCCAGGTAAGACCCAGAGATTTTATTGGGAGGCAATAGCATTACTTTATTAAAATGACATATAAATTGATGCATTGTTTTTCTCTTTTCATAACTAGATCTGTTCATCATTTCCACATGAATAAAGTTACATCAATAAAACTACTGCTAAAAGTAAACTGAAAAACAAAACTGTTGATGTTACATATTTTAGTAATTCATGAGGAAATGATGCGTTTAATGCATTTAATACTTTTTCAGGGCACAGTGTTAACATTAAGAACAGTATTTTATGTAGAAGTTCTTAATTTAGGCTGCCCTCTCTACTAGATCTCACTCACTCGCTCGCTCACTCATCATCTAAGCCGCTTATTTTCCTGGGGGGAGCTGGAGCCTATCCCACTGTTCATTGGGTGGAAGGCAGGACACACCCTGGACAGGCCGCCAGTCTATCACAGAGCAGACACACACACACACACAAACACACACACACATTTCTCTACAAGTTATACAGTCTGATTATTAGAAAGTCTTGTGCTTTGTAAGGGACCTACAGCACATATATGGTGTTTTCACCATAAAGCGTAATTGATGCTTTATTAACGGCTTAAACGGCTTTATAAACAGTTTTATTAATGGCTGACTGATGAGCGAGACTGTGCCCATGCCTTATTCCAGGGTGGCACTGGCCACCCCTTGGCTGCACCTCTGAATACACCATTTTTTTCTGAGCATGATCTGGTGATCATCACTACTTAAAGAATGCTGAACAGCTGGATGTTTAATTACAGAGAGAATCATTAGTCCAGTTTATCTTGATTTAGTGCAGCACAGTGTTTTAAACATTGAATAAAAATCATTGTACTCATAGTTTTGCATTGAGGCCTGTTCCTGATGTCTGATGCATATTGTGTACTGTGAACATCCCTTCTATCATTGTGATATTGTATTTTTGCCTTATCGCCCACCTCTACTACCCCTACTTTGACCTTAAAGTGATAGTTTGGCATAAAATCTAATTTACACACTTACGCCAAATGTGGCTGATCAGGCAGTGTCAGTGTCTGAAGTTTGCTTCTTTAGTCCTACGCTGGAGCTACGAGGCTAAAATTGTTACAAGGAATGGAAGCTTATACTCCAACAGTTAGCACTGATCAAATCACATCAGTCTTTTTTGTAAAACTGTTTTTAAAAAAACAAAATTGAGACTTGAACCTGCTACCGCTACTGTGTACTGTAAAGACACCTTTGGGGTAAGAGGGAATTTTAAAACCCAAAACACAGCTTGATGGACTTATTTCAGTTATTATAATTATCTTTGTTGTCCCTGAGCTTGACAGTGATTAAATAAGAGATGTTTCTCACATGTCTTTGGTTGTGTTCAGGCTCAGCGCTGGCACGTGGGCAGCGAGCCTTTCGGACGTCAGTGGCAGCCAGGCGATGTAGTGGGCTGCATGATTGACCTGACCGAGCAGAACATCATGTTCACGCTGAACGGAGAGATGCTGATCAGCGACTCCGGCTCAGAGATGGCCTTCAAAGACATCGAGATTGGAGAGGGTAACAGATCACGCCCGCTTAGAAAGACAGACATGATGGAATTCACTGCTGGAAAAAAACACGGAAACCATTAAAAGTGCCTGCTCGTTTCTAGAGGTGTTCAGTAGTTACTAATAGTATTGTTTGTTTGTCCAGATATGTTAATATCACAGTGTAAAGGATTGTAGTAGTTTAACCGGTGTTCTGATTCCAGAAATGGTTTCCTAAAGCTGGGCCTACACTACACAATTTTTTGCCTGATTTTAAGCCCGATTTGCCTCTTGCGATAAATTGTCACAATCTGAAGTGATTCTGCAGGTAGGGAGCTCGATCGGAAGTGACTGACAGCGTGGATGATCTGTAGTGTGAGAGGAGAAAAGAGTGAATCTTTAGCGCACCAATCAGATCGAACTCTGGAGTGATCAGAGACCCTCCGATATTATCAAACACGTCTGATATTTACGACTCAGAATGTTCACGAGTCCTGCAGCGTGAGATGGTCAGAGATGAACTCAGTGAGGGATTCAAACAGCCAATCAGAGCTGGAAGAGCGGAGAAACAGATGAAGAGACGCTCATGAACAGCGGAGCGGAGACGGAGGAGCTGCGTGTAAAACACAGGCAGATAAGAGCTGATATCATGTTTATAATGTTGATCATGTTCATAATGTTGATCCAGATCAGGTCACTGTCTTTACAGTTTCATCTCAGCTGCCAGTTTGTAGTGAAATATTTCTCCAGCTCTCACTGTATCAGCGTTTCTCACCACAGATTAATCCCCAGCTTGCGCTTTTGCTACAAAAAAAAAACACAAACAGGTGCAGTGAGTTCAGCTCTGTGTGTGTCGTGTGATCTGAGGAGATCTGGGAGTTTGAGTTCTTAATCATAGCCCAAACCCGTTATGTGTGTTATTCTCTCTCTTTGTCCTGTCGTCTAGTGTGAGCGCCCTCGCGACAAAAAGACAAGAAACTCTATGACAAACCGATGTGAAGTTTGTGATGTTCTCCGTTTTAGAAACCTGTTGAGATTTTAAAAGTCGTGTAGTGAACGCCCAGCCTAATGGGGTCTAATGGTGTCCTACACAAGCTAGTGGTCTCTAACCATTAGACAAAATCCCCATCTTTTTTTCCAGCAGGATCAGCTCTTGTTTTTGCTCTTTGGCCTTTTTGCTTGTCTTTGAACTGAAACCTGCTGGAGTGATTATAAACACAAATAAGTCCATTCCTCTCGATGTTCGTCTTAAATCTCTCTCTTTACCGTTTCGTTAGCTACTAGCTAGGAGAGATGGTTGTCCGTGTTGCTATGGTGACCAGCAGTCTGCGCTGATCTTCAGGGTTAAAGGGCAGTTCTACATTAACTCCAGAGTTTAAGACCATTTATTGTTAAACTGTGTTGAACGATCAGCAGAGCTTTATTTTACTGTAAAGGAGGATTAACACTCAGTCTCTGAATTTACATTTTATCTCAAATCCAGGCATAATATTGTCTATTGTGTTGTTTAATAAGAATGTGTCTCCCTCCAGGCTTCATCCCCGTTTGTAGCCTGGGCCTCTCTCAGGTGGGTCGGATCAACTTGGGCCAGAACGTGAGCAGTCTCAAATATTTCACCATCTGCGGCCTGCAGGAGGGCTTTGAGCCGTTTGCTATCAACATGAAGAGAGACATCACCATGTGGTTCAGCAAAAGCCTACCTCAGTTTGTCCCTGTCCCACCTGAACACCCTCATATTGAGGTACGAGGAAAAGAATGAGAGGCCAAACTTTTTAGGTAACATAAGTTAAATAATCTTGAAATAAGCTTACAGCAATCTCAACAGGAGAAATATTAGATTTATTGACTAGATTTAACTTGACAAAATATAATTTTTTGCAGCGTAAAACTAGTCATTCCAGTTGCTCCAGAGCCACCTTTAAGATGAAAAATACCCAATATACATACACACACACACACACATGGCTACAGGAATCAGTTGATTATTAGTGATTGATCTCACAATTGTTGTGTTGGTCAGTTAGTTAGGCCTACTGATGCAAAAAAGGTCCAAAAAATGTTTTGTACCATCAATGTAAATGTCCATTATTTATTACATTTGTCTAAATCATGAAGTCATGTAATAGTTTTTAACTACACTCTTAAAAGATGGTTCTTCAAGGGTTCTTTAGTAAAGACATTGGTTCTACATAGAACTATGAACACTCAAAGAAACATTTGCATGCTTAAATGGTTCTTTGCATGGTGAAACGGTTCTTCAGATTGATGGAGAATATGTTGTAAATGAAAATGGTTCTCTATAGCACAAAAAAAGGGTTCTGCTGTTGCATCGTAGCTTGTAAAAACAGAAGAATCCTTTTTGGTGCTATATAGAACCATATACAACACATATCTCCATCAATCTGAAGAACAATTTCTCCATGCAGAGAACTATTTCAAGCATGAAGTGGCTCTTTGAGTACTCATGGTTCTGTTGTTGTTACTAAAGAACCCTTCAAGAACCATCTTTTTTGCTTGCTACGTTGCTTGGCAGACATAGTGTACTGTTAGTGAGCTGCATCACGTAGAGGAAGAATTCGTAAAGTTTATAAATGTCTTCACTGTTCTTTCTTTTTCTTCCGATCCCAATATAGGTGTCTCGTGTGGACGGCACGGTGGACAGCGCCCCCTGTCTGAAGCTGACCCATAAGACGTTCGGATCACAGAACGCTAACACGGACCTGCTCTTCCTCAGACTGAGCATGCCCATCGAGTTTCACGAAACCTTCAAGGTGCCAGCGGGCCGAACCCCGCTGACCCGTGCCCTCACCATCCCGGAGGACGAGGCTCTGGAGGTCGACCCGAACTCAGACTACGAGCTGCTGAAGAAATCCGCCTCCCGCAAAGAGCAGGAGGAGAAGGAGAAAGAGCCGTCTGTGCCCAAAGAGCTGCCGGGCATCAAAGAGGGCGAGAATGAGAAAGACACGACTACAGAGAAGAGCAAAAAGAAAGGGTGAGCGGAGGTGGAGAGAGTGAGGGTAATTGATAACAAGTAGAAGTAATCGTCATTATAATTATATTTATTTTATAAATTTGTACTAATATAATAATTACTGTTGTGTAATAAGCACAGGTAATGGTAGTTATAGTAGTAGCAGGAGTAAAAGATGAAGGATAAAAGGAATGTAATCCTACTAATAAAATAATGATTTCTGTACTAATAATATTTGTAATATAATAATTGTGAGAAATGTCACAATAATGATCAGAAAAATTGCAATTACATATTTTTCCCAAATCGCTCAGCCCTACTGGAGACCTTAAAGGTGTCGCTTTTTGAGAGATGACTGTGAGTTATTAATGTTTCTATATGATTCTCAGGTTCTTCTCCAAAGCGAAGAAGGCAGCTTTTATCGCTCCACCGCCTGTTGTTCCCACCGTTCCCCGCCTGGTGGAGGACGTGGTCCCCGACGATCGAGACGACGTGGACATCATTTCAAACACTACTACAGTAAGACCCTCACTGCAGCAGTGCACGCCTCTTCTATCTGTTTAAAGCGATTCTTTAGTGAAAAATTTTAATTTAGTCTGTTAGACTAGACGCTGTATGTCAGAGTGTAATGTATAAACATGAACAGAAGTTGCTGATTGGCTGTGTTTGGATTTGTAAGTGGGAAATTGTGTAAATTAGATTTTTTGTTTAGAATAATTATATCTTGAAACAGCAGCCAGTGCTGAGGCTCTTGGTGATGTGAAAACGGGGAAGAAACTTCTTTACTGTAGTACAGACCACTGAATTCACGTGGTCATCCTGTAGTTGGTGCTCTTATGCCCATATAAGGAACTCTGGGTCTAAAAGGAATTTCTTAATGGGAGAAATATATGGAGTTTTTGAAAATTGCCTTTGTTGCATCCTGTGGTGATCAAAAATGTTCCAAAGCTGATACGTTTTGTCCTGTGAACATTTTTCTCTTGAATATCTCTGGATTTCGCTGAATTACAAGAGCATTAAAGAGTTAAAATATGAATATTGCTACATGTGAGCTAATGCTACTGCGCACTGAGTTGACGTCATTGGACTGGCAGCCTCCTTAAAAACTGCACAAACCAGCACGCTTTGCCAGTGTGGTGTGTATTTCGGTGTACAGACTGAGGGCAGATAAACAGAAGTCTGAACACAAGAAGCAGGTTTCCCTGCAGTTCTCTGTGATACTCACTGAAACACGACAGATCTTTCCCTTTTGTACATAGTTTGATTTGAAAAGCTCTATTTACCAGAACTCAGGCTAATTCAGTACAGACAGTACATAATACTTTCAAAATATCCTAATTATTCTTTTAATGGTGGTAACATTTCCTGATAAGGACATTTGCCGGCATTTGCCGACATTTGCCGGCTTCAATGTTAGTATTATGACTCTTTAATGTCTTCGTAATTTAGAGGGTCCAGTGATATACAACAGAAAATATACACAGGACAAAACGTGTCGGGTTCAGTTTTATTTACCACAGGGTGCGATTTTTCAAAACCCAATTCATTCTGGCCACAGAGAGCTCTGAATATGGGCATAACACCGACTACAGAATGATGCATGACTACAGTGTATACAGAATAAGCATGTTGATAACTTTAATCTTACTACTGCACAATCAGACGAATCAGTGAACTGTGTGAAGACGCTTCCACATTGTATGACTTAAGTTTTATTTTGTGCACATTGGCTTTTCATATAAGTACATAGAATAGATTTATTGATCGTTTAACTCCTGTGTTGTCTATATTTGTGTTGTTCTCCCCAGTATTACTACTCTGTGCGTGTGTTTGCGGGGCAGGAGCCCAGTGGGGTGTGGGTCGGCTGGGTGACCCCGGACTACCACCAGTACGACCCTCACTTTGATCTGAGTAAAGTGAGAAATGTTACCGTCACCGTGGGAGACGATAAAGGAAACATACATGACAGGTAAAGATCAGTCATAAACAATAATAACAACAACATGAACAACATTGCTGTTAATAAATAATTAACTTTATTTATACTGCAGTATCTGTCATGAACTTCAGCTCAACATGCTTCACATAAAATATTAGAAGGATAGACATTATAAATGAAGATTATGAACTTATGAAATGGGTTCAAAGATTCAGACTGAAAAAGGGGCACTTTAAGTAGAAAAACAGAGATAAAAGTAACATATTGTGAAAATAATTTCAATGAAATATAAATAAAAAGAGAGAGTAAATAGTACACCAGACCTCTGCACACTGATCAGTTAAATAAAGGAGAATCCCACCTGTTTTTCCCTATAATTCAATGTTTGAGCTGTAATCAGAGAGATTCAGAGTGGTTTGGTGTGAAATGGTTCAGATGTCTTTACAGTGGTGGTGATAGGAACCAGGGGTCGCCATGACTACAACACAAATATAGACATTTTATGTACTATCCAGAACCACCAGTGAACCTACACGAGTCTTCTGAGTTTATATGGAATGTTGATGATGGAAAATAGTGGAAAATCTGAAATAATAAGTTTTCTTTGGGGACTGTTTTGACTCACAGCACCCTGCATATTATGTACCCCTCCACCATGAATGGATGTGCAGTGATTAAAATCATAGATCAGCAGGGGAGAAGTAGCACATAGATGCAGGTCTTTAGAGCGATTTATTTACATCGAAGAGGTCCAAGGTTACATTTCCACTGTCGGCATGAGCCTTTATATTTCAGAGTGTAGGAGTCGATGAGCTCAGGTTACAGGATGCTTTATCTTTAACTCAGTAACGAAAACAGAAGTCCTCTATGACTTAAAGTATTCCAGCACAGCTATAGACAGAGACACCATAGCAACTGCTTAGCAACCACCTAGGACACCATAGCAACTGCCTAGCAACTGCTTAGCAACCACCTAGGACACCATAGCAACTGCCTAGCAACTGCTTAGCAACCACCTAGGACACCATAGCAACCACGTAGCAACTGCTTAGCAACCACCTAGGACACCATAGCAACTGCTTAGCAACCACGTAGGACACCATAGCAACCACCTAGCAACTGCTTAGCAACCACCTAGGACACCATAGCAACTGCTTAGCAACCACCTAGCACATCATAGCAACCACGTAGCAACTGCTTAGCAACCAGGAAAGACACCATAGCAATCGCCTTGCAACCTCATCACTAGATGGCACCGAATCTTACACACTGCACCTTTAAGTACATATTACGTCGTATAGTCTGCTTTTATCGAAGGAGCCAGTTTCCTCTTTTTCGGTGATGCACACAGAACCTACATGAGTGCTGAAAGTTTCAAAATAGGTTTAAACTGCAGGAATCTCAGCTCCGGGTCCGTGTGGTGACACCTCTGCTCTGCTCTCTCCAGTATGAAGCGCAGTAACTGTTACATGGTTTGGGGTGGTGAATTCAGCAGCTCTCAGCAAACCCGCATCAGTCAGGAAGACTTCGTGATTGGCTGCCTTGTTGACCTTGATACGGGGCTCATGACCTTTACAGCCAATGGGAAAGAGGTCAACACATTCTATCAGGTGAGCTGGTGTTAATAAGGCACTGCTTTATTAATCGATTTGGATTTCAGAGAGTCTTTTATTCATTAGTGGTTAGTAATCTTTCGGGTGGTGGTTTGTGCTGTGGTCATTGCGTCTAGAGATGTTAAAGGAGATGCAGTGAACAGATCCTCAAATCTAGAGAACCATGTACTTGTGTTAATATTGTGTTGCTGTGTGTTTTTCAGGTGGAACCCAACACTAAACTGTTCCCTGCCGTCTTCTGTTCGCCCTCCAGCCAGAACATGCTGCAGGTGGAGCTTGGAAAACTCAAGGTCTGTGCTGGGATTTACACCACATTCTGTTCATGATGGCTTTTAAAATATGTTTTAAATATGTTCCTAAACTATGTGTAGCACGGCCTGTGCTACCCTGGGACGCTGGAGGCAGGGATGACAGTTGCAGCAACTTTATTTTCACACCAAACTCAAACAAAATCTCACCAAACCAAAGCTGGACACTTTTCAGTGGCTTTAAAGTTAGACCTTTCAGTCCTTTTCTCCAAAACCAAGCTTTGCAGCTCCTAAGTCTGTTGCTGCTGCTGCTGAGTTTGGGACTCGTGTGCCGCCTTCATGCCCCTCGTGACTGTCGTAGTTCTCTTGCTGTCACTCGCAGCTCTTAGCGTGTGCGGCTTGGGAACCGCTTTCCTGCCCTCTTTCGCGGCCGTCAACGGTGCCTGTGGGTCAGGTGGCTGCCACAGTATGCTAATAATAACCCTTTCTATGCTGTGTTCTAGACGTCTGCCAATATCTTGTGCGGGACTAATTTTCAGTGTTGTGCGCGGGAGCGGGCAGGAAACCAGCCCACTGCAGGCGCAAGCAGGCTGAAGTACGCTTGAAGAGAAATCCTGAAAATGAATGAAGAGCCTAAAAAAAGTAGAACACTCACTAAATCGTATTTATAAACAATATAAAATCATGACAATAAAACAGTTAAAATGAATGAATTCGTTTATAAAGAGCTGTGAAGCAGCTGATCAGGTGAACAACAAGCAAATTCTTGTAGCTCACAGAGATGGAGCCCTTAGTCCGACGGCCACAGCTGCCCAGCAAAACACCAAAAATGGTTTAATTCCTGCTTTGTCTGTAAATGGTGAAGAAAATGGTGTTTGGTGAAGTTACTCACAGTGAGCCTGATGACCATAACTGCCGTGTTATTTCAGCAGAGAATAATGGATGTGTGAATAGACTGTGTCAGATATTGCATGTCAGGACAAAACATTTCGGTTAGGGGAGTGGAATGAAATCGTGGGCGGGTGCGGGATTGAAAAAAACAATCCTGGACAGGCCTCTGCTGCATTCAGGGTTATATGTTAACACATGTTGTCATAGTACTTTATAGTATTTTGGATGGCATTAGTTTTGTATGAGGAGGTTTGATAGCGTAATCATTGTCAGAGTATTTTAGTCTCATCTAAATCTGTCATGTCATTTAATTTTCAGCATGTTTGAACAAAATAGACATGCTGTATTTACAGACATCCTGTTTTAAAATGTGCGTAAATCTCTTCATGTCTGAACCTTCACCCTCTCCTCCAGAACATCATGCCCATTTCAGCAGCCATGTTCCGCAGCGACCGGAAGAACCCGGTTCCTCAGTGCCCTCCCCGCCTCGATGTCCAGATGCTGACCCCAGTGATCTGGAGCCGCATGCCCAACCACTTCCTGGCCCCTGAGACGGCCCGTGTGAGCGAGCGGCTGGGCTGGGTGGTGCAGTGCACAGAGCCGCTCACCATGATGGCCCTGCATATTCCAGAGGAGAACAGGTACACGGCGCACAGACAACAGTCAGGCTCTAAGACGCCTACTGCTGTGTTTAGCTGTGCTAATGTACCTTAGTCCATGTTTATAGATAACTTTGAGTCATACAGAGTCAGAAACCACATAATCACGTCTATCAGAGGCACTGAACACCTCCACACAGCGTGAGGAGAGTGTGATAATTTAGACATGCAGTTAGCATGATGCACTAAGCTTCCATTACTTGTTAGCTACATTAGCCTTGCAGCTTCAGTGTAAAACTACAGATGCAGACTTCAGATAAGAATGTCTTGACTGAACGATATGGGGGAGATTTTTGGTTTTAAAAGCACAGTAACCAAACAGCCTGTTTAATCTGAGGGATATGGAATGTAAACTTTTGTGTTTGGTACTTAAAGCCACATTATGTACTAGTTTACCTTAAAATAATAAATTAATAATAAATAATTTTGATGCAACCCCGACTTATAATAGTGAGAACGGCGTCTCTGTCGTTGCCACTCCGGGTCGGAGCGCCTGCTGTATCGCTGTTTAACTTTGGAGGAGCGACACGAGAACCTCTGGCCAGAACCCTGTAATGCTTTACGGAACCACGTCACACACCAACAACTCAGCAGCTATAAGAAGAAGCAGCTCGGTATTCCCGGCATGGACATCATGGCAGAGGCTGCAAAGAGACTGAAGAACTGTCAGGGGAAGCGAGGAAGAGAAAAAGAGAGAGACCGAGCGAGAGATCCAGACAAGAGTAAATCTCAGACTGGCTTTTACTTGCTGGAGAGAGCTAAAAGAGAGAAAAGGATGCAGAACAGTGTTGTTGCAAAACAGGCAGCTTTGCTTCAAATGCAAAAACTAAAATAAAGCTCAAAACACCAGAACTGGTAGAAAAAGGCACAATTATGTATTGAAGGTTAAGGCTCTCCAATAGACAAGCATTAATCTGAGTTGGCCCAGGCAGTAACTGACCAACCCACATAAACCCACAACTTGTATACTCTTCTCTGTACGACTTGTATACTCCCTCTCAAAGATTTCACCATTATCTCCAAATTTTATGATCTCATTGAACACCAGTATTTCCAAGGTTACTGTGCTTCCCTTATTAGATTACAGTTCTTCCATTATTTCCACACTTAGAAGTAACATATTTTTAAAAATAATCACAGGCCAAGGCCACAATCAAGCTCAGGCTTTTGTACTTTATATCCTTTATTGATTATTTTATATCTATGTAGTTACAGTCAAGTCTTTCTGTGTATGTGATTTTTCCAGGCCACAGCCTTTGATGAAGCCCACTGTAACATACTCAGGGTTACTTGCAGGCACACAGAAATAGAGAGAGCTGCATGTACACAGACAGCCAAACAGCATAATGTGATTAGTTATTATTAAAATCACCTATCACTTTAATAGACCTGAAAAATCTTTCACATTATCAAGAAATCTCTCTCAACGTTCTCATGGCTAACAGGAAAACAATGAAACTCCAGCAGCAGAGTGTTCATCCCTGCCAGTGTTATTTATGCATCGTAGACTGTCATCTTATCTGTGTCCTCACTGTCTCACAGAGCTCTGTAGGTTTTCCAGATGCCAAAAGTCATCTAACCTAGTCCTGTTTCAGGCTAAGTTAGCATGCAAAGAATAAATTAATCTCACGCCAATCTCACACCAAATAAGGCTTGAAAGTGGGTAATAAAATCCTGTAATGTTGCTCTACCTTGTAAGTTGACATGGTTCTGTCTCCTCTGATGCTGTCTTTGCCGGGGTTTTGCTGAATTCTGACTCCCCTGGCAGAATCCAACTCTCCTTTGTGTGCACATGCATTAGTCAAAGTCAAGTCAAAGTTTATTTATCTAGGTGTATACAGGTGTTGTCACAAAGCAGCTTTACGGAAAAATCCGGGTCCAAGCCCCCCATAAGTGGCAAGGAAAAACTCGCTCAGAGCAAGAGGAAAAAACGTTGAGAGGAACCAAGACTCAAAAGGGGAACCCATCCTTCTCTGGTCAACACTGGACAGCAAACAGCTTTAGTTGTACACTTTACGCTATTTACACACCTGCGTGACGCAAAGTGGAGTCAGATTCTGTTTTCTTCAGCTTGTCAACAAATGCACATGTAAATTTGTCCATGAGGGGGCGCTCACAGCGTGATTTGTATTTACGACAGCAGTGTAAAAGTGAAATACACTCTCCAACTGAAGGGGGAGCACATGAGCAAAACATATCAATTCTCACATAATGCTGCTTTAAACTAAACAAATGTCATAGGTGGAAAGAAATGCAGAATAATGTAAGATATTGCCTCATTAACTGTGTTCCTCACTCCTGTAGGTGTATAGACATCCTGGAGCTGTCTGAGCGGATGGATCTGATGAAGTTCCACTATCACACCCTCAAGCTGTACGGCTCTGTGTGCGCGCTGGGAAATAACCGCGTCGCCCACGCACTCTGCAGCCACGTGGACGAGTCTCAGCTCTTTTACGCCATCGAGAACACGTACCTGCCCGGGCCGATCCGCAGCGGCTACTACGACCTGCTCATCTCGATGCACCTGGAGTCCGCCAAGCGCAACCGCCTCATGACTAACCGGGAGTTCATCGTGCCCATGACGGACGAGACGCGCAGCATCACGCTGTACTCAGACGCAGAGAAGGCCCACGCACTGCCCGGAGTCGGCCGGTCCACGTGCCTGCGGCCCAAACTCCACTTTGCACCTACAGGGTTCGTGGGGACCAATGCCGACCTCTACACGCTCAGCCCCTTCATACCACTACAGGTACGGTCAGAGATGAGGAACAGTCACTCTTCACTCCAAACTCTGGGGAAACTGGGCGAGTTTTCAGATTTACAGATCTGCTGCAGCTCATTCTAAAGTTTTTCAGAGGAATCCGGGCAGAGTTACAGTTTCTAGGCTATGAAGGACCAACTGGGTGAACCAGTCTGCTACAGCGCCACCCTGAGGCAGAGCAGTGCTGCAGCTCTAGTTAGTTAAGAACACCAGAGACAGAAGCTGATTGTGGGTGAAGCTGAATCTGGATTTGAGCGTCTCTAACAGACAACATAACGTCATAATACATTTATTTTCAGGGACCCCCAGAATTTTGGGACACTCAGGGGGCCCAAGAGGTTAACTTGGGACCCCCTGTATTTTGCACGTTGCCTGTGTTACAGTGTTGACAAACCATTCAGATCTGTTTATCATACATCAATCCTATATACACAAGCAGTGTTGTTTTGATTCTCTCTCTGCAGATCCTGAAGGACCATGCCCTGAGCATGCTGACGGAGGCAGTGCAGGATGGTGGTCAGGCCATGCGCGATCCTGTAGGGGGCAGTGTGGAGTTCCACTTCGTTCCCATCCTCAAACTCATCAGCACTCTCCTCATCATGGGCGTCTTTGAGGACGAGGACGTTAAACACATCCTGAAACTGATCGAGCCGTCTGTGTTCAGCGACACGGAGACGCCAGCGCAGGACGGAGGAGAAGGGGAGCAGCAGCTCGTCAGCAAGGAGGAGGGAACGGAGGAGAAGAAGGAGAAACAGACGGAAGGAGACAGTGAAGACGAGCTGCTGGATGAAGGAGTGGCGGAGGAGGAAGAGGAGGATGAGGACCTGGAGGAGGAGGAGGAAGAGGAGGAGGAGGAGGAGGAAGAGCAGACTGAGAAAGAAGAAGAGGAAAAACACGCACTGGCTGAGAAAGCAGACAGAGAGAAAGCAGCTGGGGAGGAGGTGGAGCCAGGGGCGGAGCCTGCAGTTGGAAAGGAGGAGCAAGAAGACGTTGGGGAGGGGCTTCTCCATATGAAACTTCCTGAGTCTGTTAAACTACAGGTGAATAAAAATCTCTCTGGGCAGGTTTGTTTTCAGGTCACTGTGTGCTCAGAGATATGTTTACGTTTATGGCATTTAGCGGATGTTCTTATCCAGAACGACTTACAAAAGTGCTTTGTTGTCCACAAAGAAAATGTATCCTATCTAGAACAAATAGGTTAGAGTACTAAACTGCCCTTCAGCTCAAACACTGCCAGAAAACAAAAGCCAGAGCTGAAACCCGGAAAGATACAGAGTAAAACCCAGTATAAGTGCAATACATTTCAAAAAGTACTTACACTCTAAAAAATTATGGTTCTTTAAGGGTTCTTTAGTAAATAAATGAACCATGAACACTCAAAGAACCCTTTGCATGCTTAAATGGTTCTTTGCATCATGAAATGGTTCTTCAGATTAATGAAGAATGTGCTGTAGATGGTTCTATATAGAACTTTTTAAAATGGTTCTATATAGCACCAAAAAGGGTTCTTCTACTGTTACAAGCTTGACATATATGACACTATACAGAACCATCTAAAGCATATTCTGAAGAATGCTTTCATGATGCAAAGAACCCTTTAATCATGCAGAGGGTTCTTTGAGTGTTCATGGTTTTATATAGAATGATTTTCTTTGTTAAAGAACCTTTGAAGAACCATCTTCCTTCGTCATCTCTCTCTCTCTCTCTCTCTCTCTCTCTCTCTCTCTCTCTCTCTCTCTCTCTCTCAGATGTGCACTCTGCTGCAGTATTTCTGTGACTGTGAGCTGCGGCACCGCGTGGAGGCCATCGTGGCCTTTTCAGACCGGTTTGTCACTCAGGTCCAGTCCAATCAGAGACAGCGCTATAACGAGCTGATGCAGGCGTTCACCATGACGGCCGCGGAAACGGCCCGGAAAACCAGAGAGTTCCGCTCTCCTCCTCAGGAACAGGTACACACACACACACATACACACGCACCGCTCTCCAGTACAATAAAAACATCAGAGAGCGCCCTTCCTTTATTATATTTCCAGTCAAAATGGGCATTTAGTACAAGTTACTGATTTTTCAAGGAGATGTTTCTGGTGAAACATAGATATAATTACAATCCACTTGCATAAGGAAGGAGAAAGACAAAGTGAAAAAAAACATGAGTGTAGCACTGCCGGGCTACTCCGGGCTCAGAGAGGACGCTGGAGGCAGGAGAAAAGTTTACATTTACATTTACATTTACGGCATTTAGCAGACGCTTTTATTCAGAGCGAGTTACAAAAAGTGCTTTCTCTATCTAGAGAAAGTTTCTTTGCTAGTTACAAATAGGTTAGTTAGAAAGCCAGTCCTGAGCTCAGATACCGCTAGAAACAAAAGCCCATGTTGATACAGAGAGAAAAAGGAACAGAGTTAAACACAGTGCAGTGCAATACAATACATTACTGTAAATACTAAACTCAGTGCTCATTTAAGTGCTGTATAAAGAGACGGTCTTCAGTCTGTGTCTGAAGGCTGTGAGAGACTCTGCTGTTCGGACAGCCAGTGGGAGTTCGTTCCACCACCTGGTCTCCAGGACAGAGAAAAGTCTTGATGCTTGTCTTCCACGCATCTTGAAGGATGGCGGGTCGAGCTGAGCTGTACTTAAAGCTCGAAGGGCCTTGAGGGACAGTTCGTGTTTTGACCGTTGCCATTAGGAGGGAGGGGCTGGTCTGTTTTTGGCTTTGTAGGCATCATCATTTTAAATCTGATGCAGCTACAGGAAGACAGTTAAGGGAGCGCAGCAGTGGAGTGACGTAACTAAACTGAGGAAGATTGAAGACGAACCGAGCTGCTGCATTCTGGGTCAGCTGCAGAGGCTTTGTGGCCGCATAGGACGACCAGCCAAGAGCGAGTTGCAGCAGTCGAGCCTTGAGATGACGAGAGACTGAACGAGTGCCTGGGTGGCCTCTCGAGTGAGAAACCGTCGGATCCTCCGGGTGTTGTACAGGAGAAACCTGCATGACCGAGTCAGGTTCGCGATATGAGCCGAGAACGATAACTGGCCATCCAGAATCACACCAAGACTTCTTGCCTCTTCAGACGGAACAATCAGAGAGCTCTCGAATGAGATGGCAAGATCGCTTCCTTTTATTTTTACTACAAACAACTAAAATAAAACCACAACCTAAGCTGGCCACTTTTCAGTCCTTTTCTCCCAACTCAGCTTTTCAGCTCTTCAGTCTTTTCTTCTGCTGCTGTGGCTCATCCCTTCCTTCCCTCTCTGTTCACTCTCCACTCTGAGCACCTGTAAGTAATTTGTTTTACAAACAGTCTGACATGGGTGATTGGTGTCACTTTATGCCACGGCACACTGAAAATAAATAACTTGTACTTAAGGGCTGTTTTGGCTGGCGTTGATATAAATGAAGGGGCTCTGACTTTTGCATATTTTGCATGTTTTGTAAACAGCAATCATTTTTACAGTAGATTTAGTCATAGATATTATAAACTAGACAACACAACCTAACTTTAGATGTTTTGTTTAATATCACATTTTTTTCTAAACTGTTTTCTAAATTATTTTATTAGTACTTCACTGTCGATATTCATTTTATTAGAACTTGATTCTTAATGTTCTACAGCTTTCTCAGTCAGTTTAGATTAATATAAATATTCTCTTATGAATTATTATAGAGAACCAACTGCACATCAGAGTCATTTTCTACATTTATCTGCAGACAGATGAGTTTTCCGTTGTTAAAAATTGTGCGTCCACTTCTAAAGAGTTTCTAGAACGGAGATGGAGATGAGCTGTGTGTGTTTGTGTGTTTGTAGGTGAACATGCTGATGAGCTTCAAGAGCTGTCCAGAGGTGGAGGACTGTCCCGTTCCTGAGGACGTTCGTGGTGAACTCCAAACGTTCCACACTGACCTGCTGTGTCACTGCGGTCAGTTTGACCCCGACTCACCAACACAGACACACTAAACACAGATAAAGCCTCGTAGGAGTCCTGCGCTCACGAGCCGCGTCACTCTCTCTCTCCCTCTCTCTCTGCTGCAGGTGTGCACCTAGAGGAGGAGGAGGAGGAACAGCAGGTGGATGCGTCGCTCCGTGGGCGGCTCCTTCGGCTGATAGAGAAGGTGAAGAGTCTGCGCAGGAGGAAGCAGGAGGCGGAGCCAGAGCCCGAGGACGAGAAGAAGCCCAGTCAGATACTTTACTTTCATTTCTCGCTTCATTTCAGTCTGTTTATCAGCCAGAAGCCCATATAGATAAAGATTATCATAGATATGATATGCATTGTCATCATGCAGTCATGCAATAATAGTAATAATAATACAAATAAAATGTAATTCTAATGCTATTATTATTATTATTATTATTATTATAAAAAAGCAATACAAAATAACAATCTAAATGTTAATTTGTAATAAATATTGTTCTTCTTTCCTCTTCTTTTTATTATTATTATTCTTATTAAAATAGCAATAAAATATACTAATTTAAATATGAACTGGTAATAAATATTATTGTTGTTCTTCTTATTATTAATTTTATCATTATTAAAACAGCAATACAATATAATAATTTAAAATTTAATTAGTTTTATCTATTATTATTGTTGTGGTTGTTGTTCTTATTATCATTTGTATTATTATTAAAACAGCAATAAAGCATAATAATTAAATGTTATTTAGTAATAAAAATGCTTCTTTTTATTATTTTATTATTTTATTAGTATTAAAACAGCAATAAAATATAATTAAAATATTAATTAGTAATATTATTGTTCTTTTTTTAAAATACAGTAATTTAAATGTTACTTAGTAATAAAAAAATGCATGTATTATATAAATATTCAGCTATATACAATAATATTACTAATAATGAAAAAGCTATTACAGCCACTACAACAACAGGAAGGTCAATAAACAGTTAGTGATGATATGGTTACACAGTGTGGAGTATAATTATTTATTGCTCTGTTATTCGTACTGAACTGTCGTCCCTGCGGTTCGTGTCAGGTACTCTGCAGGAGCTGATCTCCCACACGATGATCCACTGGGCTCAGGAGTCTTTCATCCAGAACCCCGAGCTGGTGCGGATGATGTTCAGTCTGCTGCACCGTCAGTACGACGCGCTGGGCGAGCTGATCCGCGCCATGCCTAAAGCGTACACCATCAACTCGGTGTCGGTGCAGGACACCATGGAGCTGCTGGAGTGTCTGAGCCAGATCCGCTCGCTGCTCATCGTCCAGATGGGCCCAGAGGAGGAGAGGCTCATGATCCAGAGCATCGGGTCAGTCAGAGATCAGAACGTACTCCTTCATCTCCGTATTTCCCTCAGAGAAAACGGCACTGAAACAAAATAGTAGTTTTACAAAATTAGCAGTAGGTTTACAAATTTAAACATTTAGATGGATACATTAATGCAAACAGTCTAAAAAATAATGATACAAAAAAGACAATAGAAAAACAGATATATATATATATATATATATATATATATATATATATATATATATATATATTATTATTTTTTTTATTTAAATAAGTGTATTTTCATTCATTTTAACATTAACATTTTCACAAAAATCTCACTGTTTTTATCTTCCTCAGAAATATCATGAGCAATAAGGTGTTCTACCAGCACCCAAACCTGATGAGAGCACTGGGCATGCACGAGACTGTCATGGAGGTCATGGTCAACGTGCTTGGCGGTGGAGACTCTAAGGTACTGACTGGCCCATCTGATGTAACGAACTCATTCTGTAAGGGTCATTTTATAAGCTTGAAATTTGTTTAACCTGTTCTAGATCACTGTGCTGGTACCGGCACACTTTGTTCACTTCAGTTTTTTTATTTGTTAATTTTATGCATTAAATTGTCCAGCAATAGTGATGCAGTACACCATTAGAAAGCCTGAAATCTGAAAGGATTCGATTCCCACAAACCATTTTATGATCTGTTATTCGCAGCAGTTACAATTGTCTCATTTGCAGCGTAAGCACAGAATAAGCAAACGCTAACAAATCTGTGTGTCCTCACCTTCAAAGCTTCGTCGCCTCCACAGACACCATCATCCAAAACGTGTGGTCTAATAACACAGCAAGAGTCAGAGATCAGTTTAGAGATCTGTGAGTCAGGAGGAAATAGACTCCTCGATTCTAGACTCTGTTAATGCGCCCCCTTTACTTTGGGTACGCCATTTCAGGAACAAATGGGGCCACAGTTAACAGGTTAATGATGTTTCTCCATCAAAGCAGCTCCTGTGTCAAAAAGTTGTTAAAACTCAAATTTTACAGCAGCACTATTTGATTGATTGTAATCAATGCTGTTTGTATTTCTGCCTCCAGGAGATCCGGTTCCCGCGCATGGTGACCAACTGCTGTCGTTTTCTGTGCTACTTCTGCCGAATCAGCCGTCAGAACCAGCGATCCATGTTCGATCACCTGAGCTACCTGCTCCAGAACAGCGGCATTGGCCTGGGTCAGTCGCTCCAATATGAGATTTAAAGTAGACTATTCACTTTTAAAATATTATTGTCATCTTTTCCATCATTTCTGATTCACTGAGTTGTCTAAAGACTTAGGCCCAGTCCCATTTTACCCCTTTGTACCTACTACTCAGCCCTACCCCTCCGCTCTGCGCGTTCTCGTCTAGGGGTAGGGTGTCCTGGTTCGTGTTGAGATAGAGGGGTAGGGTGAAGTGTTAGGGGCTACATGACCCTCCAAACGGAGGTTTTTCAGAGACTCCAAACAGAGAGTTATGAGGAAAAAAAGAAGATGGCTGCATAAGAGACCAAAGAAAATCATTGTAGTATCTTAGTTTAATGATGTTTCAGTGTATTTTGGTCCTTTTCTTCATAACAGGCATAAAAATCACTAGTAGTGCTGACATCTCTGTAGGTAGCTAAATTTCCTGTTCCACCTCAAATAGTCCAGCAGTTCTGAAACCTGAAGTGCCAGAACGTAACTGCTGCTCTATTTAAGGTGGAACAAGAAAAATCGAGAAGCTGGTGAATATCTGACTTCAGCTTCATATCACTGAAGAATTAGGGGTGGGCGATAATAAATAATTGCCCCCTCTTTGAAGATCATATGATGCCCTAAATGTAACTAAAGCCCAGCAGTGAGGAGCTGAACTTTACCCTCCTCTGCTGTCACTGCAGACTGGCAGGGTCGCCTACAGAGCAGCGCTGGTAGCTGTTAAAGAAGTGATGCTCTTTTTATTTGAGGGTCCCATTTCAGAGGGAAGATTTCAACCACTACCCTGTAACTCAGTTCCAAGTGGCAGCACTCGAAAACAAGGGGTAGGGGTGAAAATAAGAAATGGGACTGGGCCTTTCTGCACTGATGATGAGTATCGGTGTTACAGGGATGCGTGGCTCTACTCCTCTGGACGTCGCTGCAGCGTCCTGCATAGATAACAATGAGCTCGCTCTGGCTCTCCAGGAGCAGGACCTGGAGAAGGTGACTGACTACATCTTTGTTTTTTTTATTAAGCAGAAATCATGTATGAGTGCTGGTTCTGTAACAGCTACTTCTATTACAAATATAAATAGCGAGGTTGGTGCTTGAATTTATTTCCAGAACAAATATTTTAAATGTTTATAAGCCTGTTGGAGAAGCATTTCAAGTTCCTAATGAAGCAGTTTGAGAGAACACCAAGAGTGTGTAGAGCTGCATCAATAACAATACAAACAGGGGCTTCTGAAGATTCCAAAATGGAGCTGTATAATTCCACGTAAGGAGCTTCAACAGATCTTCAAATGCAGTGATTTGTCTCTACAGACAAAGATCAGAACTGTCCAGGCTGTGGTTCTATTATGAATCTTTATGGATGTGAAAGCTGGAGACAATATAGATGCCTTTGAACTTTGGTGTTGGTAAAGACTTTTGAAAGAACCTCAGACGGCAAAGATAACAAACATACGGAACCTCGACCAAATCAAACATTTAAAATTGGAGCAGTTTGTTTCCTTGAGTGATTTTAAGATAAGTGTTAAAGAATTATATCATTCTGTTTGTTCTTGTTTTTAATTTGATTTTGTTGATTGTTTTGTGTGCGGCCTTTATGGCCAGGGCTCACTTGTGAAAGAGTGTGATCACCCTGCTTAAATAAAGGTAAAATATAAAAAATTATGTTAGTTCACAACCTGTCCAGGGTGTATCCTGCCTTCCACCCAATGACTGCTGGGATAGGCTACGTCTCCCCCGTGACTCAGAAGGATAAGCGGCTTAGAAGATGTGTGTGTGTGTGTGTGTGTGTGTGTGTGTGTGTGTGTTAGTTCATAGATCTAATGACCTCATGGCAATTCTAAAGTGTGGAAAATAGTAAAAATAAGTAAAAAATAAAAATAGTGAAAATAGTAACTGAACTGGGCTGTGATGCTGTAGGTGGTGAAGTACCTGGCGGGCTGTGGGCTGCAGAGCTGTCCGATGCTCCTGTCTAAAGGATACCCTGATATCGGCTGGAATCCCTGCGGTGGGGAGAAATATCTTGATTTCCTCCGATTTGCTGTCTTTGTTAACGGTGCGTACAAGTCATTACAGGGCACACTTAAGAAAGGTGTTCTTCAAGGGTTCTTTAGTAGAGACTGTGGTTCTATATAGCACTATGAACACTCAAAGAAATATTTGCATGATTAAAGGGTTCTTTGCATGGTGAAATGGTTCTTCAGATTAATGGGGAATGTGTTGTCAATAGCACCAAAAAGTTCCAGTATTGTTACAAGCTTGACACCGTAACAATAGCAGAACCCATTTTTGTACTATATAGAACCTTGTACAGCACGTTCTCCAAATATGTTGTATATAGTTCTAACACAAGGTTCTATATAGAACCATATACAGTACGTTCTCCATCAATCTGAAGGACCATATATATGTGTGTGTGTGTATATATACATATATATATATATATACACACACACACACACACACACACACATATACATATCTATATGTATCTATCTATATAAATATGTGTATATAAATATATATATATATATATATGTACATATACATAAATACAGGTAACACAGATAAATGTATAAACAGTATAGTAACCAGTAAGTAAACAAATTATGCTTTAAACAATTCAATACAATTAGAGCACACTAACTGATTTAAATATGTGCCCATCTATTTGTGTGTGTGTGTGTTCTACAGGAGAGAGCGTGGAGGAGAACGCCAACGTTGTGGTTCGTCTCCTGATCCGGCGGCCTGAGTGTTTCGGTCCTGCGCTCAGAGGAGAAGGGGGTAACGGTCTGCTGGCAGCCATCGAGGAGGCCATCAAAATCTCTGAGGACCCGGCCAGAGACGGGCCGAGCGTCAAGAAGGACAGACGCTTCCCCATGTACGAGCACATCGTTGAAGATCCTTTCAGAGTTACAGTGATCATACATCAGCTCTGTGCTGATGCCTTATGCATATTTATTTATTTATCTCTCAGCTTCATGTTCATCAAAGTGTCCTCTTATGTTCTAAATAATGATTTTACAATATTTTTAATATTATTTTCCAGACTACTGTTTGAAGCACATATTGAGACACTTTTGGCCCAACTTCATTTGAACACCTGAAAAGTTTGAGTGCTGACATCACAACAAGGGGATAAAATGGGCGTGGATTTGGCTTTATTCTCACAAACGTTAGCATGAATTTCCAGCCTTGCAAACTGACAAAGAAAACATGCTCATTACAGCATTTTGGGCTCTCAGACTTTTGACAGGCAGTTACACCAATCAGTCACTTCATTAAGGCCACCTCCTTGTTTCTACACTCACTGTCCATTTGATCAGCTCCACTGACCATATAGTTTCACTCTGTAGTTCTACAGTTGCAGACTGTAGTCCATCTGTTACTCTGAATACTTTCTTACTGTTCTTCAGTGGTCAGGACCCCCACAGGACCCCCACAGAGCAGGTATTATTTGGGTGGTGGGTCATTCTCAGCACTGCAGTAACACTGACGTTGGTGTTGGTGTGTTAGTGTGTGTTGCGCTGGTGTGAGTGGATCAGACACAGCAGTGCTGCTGGAGTTTTTAAACACCTCAGTGTCGCTGCTGGACTGAGAATAGTCCACCAACCAAAAATATCCAGCCAACAGTGTCCTGTGGGCAGCGTCCTGTGACCACTGATGAAGGACTAGAGGATGACCAACACAAACTGTGCAGCAGCAGATGAGCTATCGGCTCTGACTTTACATCTACAAGGTGGACCGACAAGGTAGGAGTGTCTAATAGAGTGGACAGTGAGTGGACACAGTGTTTAAAAACTCCAGCAGCACTGCTGTGTCTGATCCACTCAGACCAGCACAACACACACTAACACACCACCACCACGTCAGTGTTACTGCAGTGCTGAGAATGACCCACCACCCGAATAATACCTGCTCCTGAACGTTGAAGAACAGGGTAACAAAGTATCAGAGAAACAGATGGACTACAGTCTGTAACTGTAGAGCTACAGAGTGAAACTATATGGTCGGTGGTGCTGATAAAGTGGACAGTGAGAGTGTTATATGTGTGACGGAGTTGTTCACTTTTCTCCTTGGTATTTGTGTTGGGCTGTTTTAGGTTTGGAGGGGAGGAGCAGCACGAGGAGAACAGAGTTCACCTGGGAAATGCTATCATGTCCTTCTATGCTGCTCTCATTGACCTGCTGGGCCGTTGTGCTCCTGAGATGCATGTAAGAGCCCAATTCATTCAACAGATGATTGAACACCGGACGAATTTCACTCCTGACTGTTTAGACTGTGGTGTGTTTAACCTGAACTCTAAATTACACGCAATGGAACAGTTTCAGCACCGTAGAATACATTGAATTAAATGACTCTTAGAATTGTTGGTCAATAATTAGACTATAATTTGTCTATTTGTGTTGTGTCTGTGCAGCTGATCCAGGCAGGTAAAGGAGAGGCTCTGAGGATCAGAGCTATTCTCAGGTCCCTGGTGCCCATTGAGGACCTGGTTGGTGTTATTAGTCTTCCAGTCCAGATACCTGCGTTTGGAAAAGGTGAGCAGGATGGAGTTAAGGCAATGCACTGCATGTCCAAAAGAATTCAGCTGCCTTTAGGTGCAGCCACTGCTGTTCAACTGTGTACACAGCTTGTATAATCTCCTTAGAAAAGCACTGACCAATAGAAGAGGGCACTCTGGAGCAGCTGCACATGATTCTAAGGTCTCCATGCCAAGCATGGGCTAGAGGGGTATAAAGCCCCCCAGCATTGGTCTGTGAAGCAGTGAAACTGTGTTCTCTGGGAGTGATATATCAGATCCTCACAACAATGTTCAAACATCTAGTGTAAAGGCTTCCCAGAAGAGTGGAGGCTGTTACTGCAACACAAACTCGCTATTAAAGGTGCAGTGTGTGAGATTTTGGGGGATCTATTATCAGAAATGGAATATAGTAACAAAAGCATGTTTTAATTAGTGTATATTCAGCTGTAACTCTGAATCGTTGTGTTGTTGTTATCTTAGAATGACCCTTCATATCTACATAGTGAGCGGCTCCTCTTCAACAGAGGCCGCCATGTTGCGCCGCCATGTTTCTACAGTAGCCCAGAACAAACAAACCAGATTCTAGAGGGCACCTTTCACACTTTTACGCTGAAGCAGCAGCTTGAATTTGGTGGCGCTGTAGCTCCTATTGGAAGACATAGAAAGAAGAAGAATCAGTGGAGCTGCTGGTGCTGCTGACCTTTTTGTTTTGAGAAGTTTGAGAACCCAGATTTTGACAAAAGGAGGATCAAACTTATTATTTAGCACCAGAAAAAAAGAGAGAGGGTGAATCCTCACCGTCGAAGAAGAGAAAACATGAAGCAGCGAAAACGAAAATCGGGACAGACGACGGCATGAAACCTGACGGCAACTGCAGGTTCTACTACACGCTTGGAAACGGAGGGGTGCGGGAGGGGGACTCAGCTGGGTGCAGTCTGCAACCTCATCACTGGATGGCACTAAATCTTACACACTGCACCTTTAATACCTTTCATTTCAGAAGAAGCTCTGGAGGAGCAGGTGGCTGCAAAGTCTTGTACAGCGTATTGATGGACTATAAGGCAGGTTTTGAAACTCACTCACTCCCCATGTGACCTTTACTTGTTTATTTTACTTTAGACAACAGCATTATTGAACCGAAGATGTCTGCCAGCTTTGTCCCTGATCACAAGGCTCCAATGGTGCTGTTCCTGGACAGAGTGTATGGTATTGATAACCAGGACTTCCTGTTGCATGTGCTGGAGGTCGGATTCCTGCCGGACATGCGGGCGGCGGCCTCTCTGGACACAGTGAGTCTCACTTACAACTGACTGATTATTAAATCCATTAATGGAGGGGTAACAATTGTACTGATCCATTGGCGTGAGGGTTGTGTTTCAGCTGCTTCGATTTTTTAAAATAATCTGTTGTAATCAAATATTCAGTAAGGTATCAATCACTGCAGGTGCTCCTCATGTAGTATCAGACTTTCTGTGTGTTTGTTAGTTCTTTTTTAATTTAAACTTGTAAATATGACTCCGAAATGATACACACTCCTTGGCCACTTTATCAGAAACTCCTCTCTTGTAGATCCTCCTTGCTGGTGTACAGTTATAAACTGTAGTCCATCTGTTGATGCACAGATATAGTGAACGTATAAGGTGGGTGTTTCTAATAAAGTGGCCGGTTAGTGGAAGCACAAGGTAGGTGTTTCTAATAAATTGACCAGTTAGTGGAAGCACATGGTGGGTGTTTCTAATAAAGTGGCCAGTTAGTGAAGGCACAGGGTGGGTGTTTCTAATAAAGTGGCCAGTTAGTAGAAGCGTAAGGAGGGTGTTTCTAATAAAGTGACCATTTTGAGGAAGTACAAAGTAGGTGTTTCTAATAAAGTGGCCAGTTAGTGGAAGCACAAGGTAGGTGTTTGTAATAAAGTGGCCAGTTAGTGGAAGCACAAGGTAGGTGTTTGTAATAAAGTGGCCAGTTAGTGGAAGCACAGGTTGTATTCGTACTGATTGTATCGTCGTATTGTTCCGAATCATAATGAATTGTAGTGAAATGACAGATGTCATGGCGTATTGAATTGTTCTTGTTGAGTGTGACTGTTTTGCCGTCTGTGTTTGTGTTCCAGGCTGCGTTCAGCACCACTGAAATGGCCCTGGCTCTGAATCGATATCTCTGCTCCGCTGTTCTGCCTTTAATCACCAAATGTGCCCCCCTGTTTGCTGGGACGGACCACCGGGCCATCATGATTGACTCCATGCTGCACACCATCTACCGGCTCTCCCGCGGCCGCTCCCTCACCAAGGCTCAGAGGGACGTGATTGAGGAGTGCCTCATGTCTCTCTGCAGGTCAGTGTGAAGGACATGTGTTTAATGTGTATTTTGGAAAGTCAACAGTGGAGTGACTATCCGTGAAACCTTCACACTGTAACAAGACTGCTTGGGATGACGCTAAAGAGCCATATAAAGGCCCAGTCCAGTTTCACTCCTCGCCCCTACCACTCAGAGAGACCGAAGAACCACAATGTGAGAATTTTCTCTGTTAAAAAATTACAGTAACCATTGAATAATCTTAGTTTAATGTAATTTTGGTGTATTATAGTTCTTTTCTTCATAACAAGCATAAAACATTGCTAGTATTATGCTGATGTCTCAGTAGATAGCTAAATTTCCCAGCAGTTACATTCTGGCACCTCAGTCATCAGAACTGAGGTGGAATGGGAGAATTCTAACAAGAAGCTGGCGAATATCTGAATTAGGGGTGGGTGGTAATAAATAATTGCCCCCTCATATGATGCCCTAAATGTAACTAAAGCCCAGCAGTGAGGAGCTGAACTTTACCCTCCTCTGCTGTCACTGCAGACTGGCAGGGTCGCCTACAGAGCAGCGCTGGTAGCTGTTAAAGAAGTGATGCTCTTTTTATTTGAGGGTCCCATTTCATAGAGGGCTTCAGTCACTACCCCTTATAACTAATTTCCAAGGGGAAGGTAACACCCGAAAACAAGGGGTAGGGGTGAAAATAAGAAATGGGTTTGGGCCTAAGTGCGCTGTATAAATAAATCTCTTATTATGTATTATTATGGTTTTTGTGTTTCCCTCTAATAATTATCATCATTGTTGAATATTAACCTGATTAATAATTATTTAAACAAAAACACTGGTGAGTCTTGTGGCTCTTAGGGCAGGATTGAAGTGGCCCATGTGAACAACAGAGAGATTGAGAGTAAAATTTCCTTATAGTCTCTCTTTGTCTTGTGATGTGTGATGCTTCTCTGTTTCAGGTATCTGCGCCCTTCCATGCTCCAGCACCTGCTGAGAAGACTTGTGTTTGATGTGCCAATTCTCAATGAGTACGCCAAAATGCCACTCAAGGTAAAGTGTGGTCCTCTAGACCTAACAGGTGACTTTCCATACGCCAACACAGGCCTTATCTGTTTAACTGTGCGTGTTATAGCTGTTGACCAATCACTACGAGCGATGCTGGAAGTACTACTGTCTTCCCAACGGCTGGGCGAACTTTGGCGTGTCGTCAGAGGAGGAGCTCCATCTGACCCGGAAACTTTTCTGGGGAATCTTTGAGTCTCTGGCACACAAGGTGAGAACCATGGTATCAACAGTCGAGGTAAACGCTGCAGGTGCTTCTCATGTAGTATCAGGGCATCTGTGTGTTAGTTCTTTTGTAATTCAAACCTGTGGATTTGGCTCTAAACTGATACACACTCCCTGGCCACTTTATCAGAAACACCTTTCTTGTAGATCCTCCTTGCTGGTGCACAGTTACAAACTGCAGCCCATCTTTTGATGCACAGATATAGTGAACCTATAAGGTAAATGTTTCTAATAAAGGGGCCAGTTAGTGGAAACACGAGGTTGATGTTTCTAATAAAGTGGCCAGGTAGTGGAAGCACAAGGTAGGTGTTTCTAATATAGTGTTCAGCTAGTCTATATTATGGTCAGTGGTGACTTTTTTTCCTTTTTTTTACAGAAATTTGATGCCGAACTGTTTAAAATCGCGATGCCCTGCATCTGTGCCATAGCTGGTGCCATACCTCCTGATTATGTGGATGCCAGCTACTCTTCCAAAACAGAGAAGAAAGCTTCTGTTGATGCTGAGGGCAACTTTGATCCCAAACCTGTGGAAACCACCAAGTACATTATATTTTGACATGTTGCATGTGTACTGTGTAGTCATGTAATAATCATTCTGAATTTGTGTGTGTAATTAATTGCACTGCAATAACATTTTGTTTCTCCTGCGCTTTTGTTAGTACGATCATTCCTGAGAAGCTGGACGGATTCATTGACAGATACGCAGAATATACACATGATAAATGGGCTTTTGAGAAGGTGAGTCTCGGCAGATAAACATGAATTAAATGTTTGCTTTTGCCTTCTTAAACACTGAATATCAGATAAAGTTGTGCGAAATGATGTGAAAGTGTTCTGTGTCCCTCACGCTTCCCCAGATCCAAAACAACTGGACGTTCGGTGAGGTGCTGGATGAAAATGCCAAGACTCATCCCATGCTCAGGCCATACAAGACATTTTCTGAAAAGGTAACATGCAGTTGTATCATCGTTTTTTCCTCCTTCTGTAAGCTTCCTGTATTTTTTTTAATCCTGTCTCCTGTGCTGCAGGATAAAGAGATCTACCGTTGGCCCATTAAAGAGTCCATCAAGGCCATGATCGCCTGGGAGTGGACACTGGACAAAGCCAGAGACGGAGATGAGGACAAAGCAGAGAAGAAGGCGGCTCGCAAGATCTCCCAGACTGCGCAGGTACAGAGAGAATATAAAAAAAAACACTGTAGCCTTGAGGAGTAGAGATTTAATACACTGAGCGCTTCATTAAACCACCTCCTTGTTTCTACACTCACTGTTTCACTCTGTAGTTCTACAGTTACAGACTGTAGTCCATCTGTTTCTCTGCATACTTTGTTACCCTGTTCTTCAATGGTCAAGACCCCCATAGGACCCCCACAGAGCAGGTACTATTTGGGTGGTGGATCATTCTCAGCACTGCAGTAACACTGATGTGGTGGTGGTGTGTTAGTGTGTGTTGCGCTGGTCTGAGTGGATCAGACACAGCAGTGCTGCTGGAGTTTTTAAAAACCTGTGTCACTGCTGGACTGAGAACCAAAAACATCCAGCCAGAAGGGTACTGTGGGCAGCATCCTGTGACCACTGAGTGTAGATACCAAGCAGGCGTACCTAAAAAAGTGCCCAGAGTGTGTATATAATACCGTGTCTGGCAACAGATTGTCCTGTTACTGTGATGATAAAGGTTTTCCTTAAGTGAACTGCTGTTTCTTCATCCTCTAGGCAACCTATGACCCCAGCCACGGCTACAGTCCTCAGCCTATAGACATATCAGGCATGACGCTGTCCAGAGAGCTGCAGGTAGAGTCCCATCAAAGAGTGTCCTCATTGTTATCCAGAGAATTTTCACTGAGCTACTCCCAAAATACTGTCTAACACACTGTTCCTGAGAAGAGCATGTATGTGGATGGATTTACATTTGACTGAGGTCACTGAATTTGAGCAAAAGGAAAAAAAGAAATGGTTTTATTGGATAAGACAGACATAGTAACTAATAAATGAATTAAATAGAGTTAATAGTGGATGAGAAAATAGTGTAAAAATAGTAAAAAAAAATCAGTAAGTTCTGATTTTTCTAATCATACAAATCAAACAGTTGTGGTCAGTTTGCCCATTGAATTATCAGTATATACAGTCGTGGTAGGAAGTTTACATACACTCATCATGGACATGAATGTCATGGCAATTTTGGGCTTTCAATGATTCTTTGAACTGTTCTTTTTCTGGGGCAGAAAGAGTGTTCAACATACATCTTTAATAGAAAAAAATAAGTTGGTTCACATGTTTTAATTTTTTGGGGTTTTCTGAAATCAACACAGTCATAATTGTACATACACCATCAAAAATATACATACACCCACTTAGATTATTAACTCTGTGGTGCTGAAAGAAGAGTGGTGAAATATCCAACCAGCATTCTGCCAGAAGCTTGTTGATGGCTATCAAAAGTGTCTGGACAAGGTGCAACTTGATAACGGACATGTAACCAAATATTAGGTGTGCTGTATGTATATTTTTGCCGCTGTATGTAAGATTTTGACCCTGTTTTGATTTCAGAAAACACGAAAAATTGTGCACCATGTTCTTCTTTTCTTTCTACTAAAGATGTATGTTTGACCTTCATTCTACCAGAGAAAAAGAACGGTTCTAAGAAATAACTGAATGCTCAATATTGCCATGACATTCATGTCTACGATGTGTGTAAACTTCCCACCACAGCTGTACATAAGTGGTCACCAACCCTGCACTGCAAAAATCTTGCACTTCGTTAAGTACAATTATCTTAAATATAGTCAATAAATCTAATATTTCTCCTGTTAAGATTGTTGTAAATCTGCCTGTACTCCCAGCCACAGTCTGCCACACCTGCTCCAGCTCATTAATTTGTTCAGAAGTCCTTGATTAGCTGAGTCAGACTCATTAGTGTTACGTAAGAGGGAAACAGCATTTTAGACGAAGGTTGGAACTAAACTCTGCAGTAAAGCAGGTCTGCGGGAGGAGGGATGGAGATCACTGATGTACAGAATACTGTATTCTGTGTACTTCGTTCAGTCTTTATATGCTTTAGGTGTGAGTTGCCATACATGCAATATGTAAACAGTAAAACCCTGAAATGTTCTTCGTCGCCTCTCATTTTTAACTCTGTTTCTCTTGGTTCCTCTGCAGTCCATGGCTGAGCAGCTGGCGGAGAACTACCACAACACCTGGGGCCGCAAGAAGAAGATGGAGCTGCAAGCGAAGGGTTCGGCTCCCTCCTGTCCCTGCTGTGTGGTCCCTCATCGTGTTCAGCTGTGTAATTAACAGACATCTGCTCTCTCTTTTTGCTTATGTCCAGGTGGTGGGACTCATCCTCTGCTGGTGCCTTACGACACGCTGACGGCTAAAGAAAAGGCTCGAGACAGGGAGAAGACCTACGAGCTGCTCAAGTTCTTACAGCTCAACGGATACGCTGTTACGAGGTATGGCACAGGAACAAACGTCAGACTGTTCAGCAAAATGGCAAAAATAAGAAGGATGATATCTGCAGGAAAGCAGAGTAACAAGCAGGTAGTTTATGGAACAGCGGCCGTATCACAGAACCATCTAAACTCTGAAATCTGATCTGTTTGGTCTCCATGACGACTTCAGTACAGACTGAATTTAGGACAGTCTATTATTATCTATTACAGAATAACAGTTTCTAACTTCATAATCTCATCATTAACTTTAGGATGAACCCCAACAGGGTCCTGACTTCTGTTTAAGGTCCGTTTCTATGGTTTTTAGGCAGCTGAGTCAGCAGCATAGTTCACTACCAGCATAATGAGCTCCATTTATTTCTACTGTAAAACGCTGCTTTCACTGTGAGATGATTTTCTTTTCTAACTCTGCGTTTTAAAGATCTCAGACGCTGCAGACTCGATCTCCACCGCCCCTCTGATCACCTTCGTGTGTTAATGTTGATGATGAAATATTACAGTGATGGTGGTGAATAATGAGGAGGCGGAGCTGAACGTGTGTCTGTTTGTTAGGAGGAGTAACGTTAGCGCGCTCGGCTAAAGCGTTTGGGAAATGGAGACTGAAACTGGGGAGCGTCGACACTCTGATAAACAGCAGGGGGCGCTCTCACAGTATTCACAACTCACAGTTTATCACACTTTAGTTTTGACCTTTTTTACATCAGTAACAGCAGCTGTAACATTTTTAACATAATTTTGATGACGTGTTTACGTTTCAGCTGTGTGTGTGTATGGTCGGTTGCTAGGCAACAGACATGACCGTTGACTATCAACTTCAATCGAGTAGGTTAAGATTTCCTAACAGGAGATAAGATGCTGTAAAATTAGATAAGATTCCTAAATTGAGATCAGAAATCTTATCTCGACTTGTCAGATCCTAACTTAGGAGTAACAGAGAGGAAGTTTCTGTAGTACGGCTCCATAATATTTTCAGAGATCTGGGACTGTATTACAGAAACCTCCTATCTTTTATCAACTGTCATAACAATAAAATACAACTGATGTGTGTCTTACATTCCTATTCATGAGATTTTGCTCAGAAAAGTAGTTTGTGGCAAACTGAATAAAAGTCTCTGAATTTTCGTCTTTTTTAGATCACAGCCTTTATGTCTTGTAAATCACAGTATTGCTGTTTTACGTCTTTTCTTTTTTAATACTATAAAATGTCCTTTTTTGTTTAAAGTTTTCAGGATGAATGTGTGTCAGTTTGTAAAACACTTTGATTTCCAATTGTTTGTATGAAGGTTATAATAAAGATGGAACGACTGATTAATAATTTGAGGCACTCCTGCGTGTCGGAGTGTTGATATGTGTGTTTGTTTCTCAGAGGGCTGAAGGACATGGAGAGCGATATCTCCTCTATCGAGAAGCGCTTTGCTTACGGCTTCTTACAGAAACTGCTGAAGTGGATGGACATCGCCCAGGAGTTCATTGCACATCTCGGTATGATAGTCAGACTCTGATGATCTGGACAGGCTGACCAGCTGTGTGTCAGATATTTCTCACAAAATTTTCTACAACTAAATCACGAAAAAACTGAAATACTGATTATCAGTACTAAAACTCAAAGAAAACTGCTTTATGAGAATCTCGGCTCCTTAGCTTCATATACCAAACCTGCTGTAGAAACCTGGGTGTGATCTTAGACTCTAAACTCTGCTTTATCTGCAAAACACAGTCACTAAAGCCCTAACCCTCTCTAAGAGCGACGCAGAGAAACTTGCTGCTGTGTTTGTTCAGCAGAGTTGATCACTGTAATGATCTTCTTACTGGAGAAAAAAGCAGATCCTCTAGAACCCGTACAGAACGCAGCAGCACGGATTCTCACAGCACCAACACAGAGCGCTCATATCCCCCCGTTACACACTGCACTGACCGCCTGGATCTGTTAGAGAGAGTTTAAAGCTCTTCTGCTGTTTTTTAAAGCTCTAAATGCCCTTAAAGCTCCTGACCGTCTGTCTGTTTATGATCTCAGATCTGCAGATTCTGACCTTCTGAACTCCTTCAGTAAAACACAAAAAACGTGGAGAGACTCTTTCAGTTATTCTGCTTCTAAACTGTGGAGCTCAGTTCAGCTTTTATTAGACAGTCGAGCTCAGAGCTCACTTTTAATAAACATCTGAAAACGCAGCTCTTTAACTCAGAGCTTCAGTAAAACTCTACGGCTCTTTAACTCAGAGCTTCATTAAACTCTACGACTCTTTAACTCAGAGCTTCATTAAACTCTACGGCTCTTTAACTCAGAGCTTCAGTAAAACTCTACGACTCTTTAACTCAGAACTTCAGTAAAACTACGACTCTTTAACTCAGAGCTTCATTAAACTCTACGACTCTTTAACTCAGAGCTTCATTAAACTCTACGACTCTTTAACTCAGAGCTTCAGTAAAACTCTACGACTCTTTAACTCAGAGCTTCAGTAAAACTCTACGACTCTTTAACTCAGAGCTTCAGTAAAACTCTACGACTCTTTAACTCAGAGCTTCAGTAAAACTCTACGACTCTTTAACTCAGAGCTTCATTAAACTCTACGACTCTTTAACTCAGAGCTTCAGTAAAACTCTACGACTCTTTAACTCAGAGCTTCAGTAAAACTCTACGACTCTTTAACTCGGAGCTTCAGTAAAACTCTACGACTCTTTAACTCAGAGCTTCAGTAAAACTCTACGACTCTTTAACTCAGCGCTTCAGTAAAACTCTACGACTCTTCAACTCGGAGCTTCAGTAAAACTCTACGACTCTTTAACTCGGAGCTTCAGTAAAACTCTACGACTCTTTAACTCGGAGCTTCAGTAAAACTCTACGGCTCTTTGGTCTTGATCTTAAATTAGTACTCAATTGGTACTCATAATAAAAATGAAAAGTGAAAATTGCTTATATATATATTTGGAGCTCATAAACCAACTCATTTACACTCATAACACTTATTTTGGATTAGAAGGAAAGAACTGCATGAAGCAGAGTGTGTATCATAATTGCATACAGAATGCATTGGTATGCTTTGATATAATCTGTATCAATTTTGGAACATTAGAATTGGTTCTCAATATTTGGTACTAGTTTTATTGTCTGTATTTCACTACCATTAAGTAGTTCTTCCAGTCACTTTTGTTCATTTAGTGTATTTTCAAAAATAATTAGAATTAATGATTGCATTGAATCATTTCCTAAATAATATTTATTGGTGATCTTTGTTGATATTTTCTATAATTTCTGCCCTCGTTTGTGTGGTTTCCTGTGTGCAGAGGCTGTGGTCAGCAGTGGCCGTGTGGAGAAATCACCTCATGAGCAGGAGATCAAGTTCTTTGCCAAGGTTAGACTTTCTAAAAGCCTTTTAAAATCTGATGAAAGTGTAAAAGGTCTGAAAGGCTTCAGCTGCCCTGTTTTCCTTAGTGTTTCAGCAGTGAAAGAGCAAAGCAGCACACCGACTGAATCAGCTCCGCTGAAGAAAGAGCTTGTTCTGTAGTTCGTATGCAGGGTCATGACTGGTGATGAAACCGTTACCGGTTTCAGGGTAAATCACTGTGAAATTCCAGTCGGTTATTTTTACTGTTTCTAATTTTAATGATCATTGAAACCGTGGTCGATTACCACGCTTTGAAAAACTCACCTAAAATACTGTGCAGCATCAACCACAGTTAGCAACAGTCTCACACACAGGCGCGCAGATGCAGCAAGCAGTATGGGTTTGTTTTTTTACCCAATTTTCTCGTATCCAGTTCCACCTGGTGCGAGTGGATCAGACACAGCAGTGCTGCTGGAGTTTTTAAACACTGTGTCCACTCACTGTCCACTCTATTAGACACTCCTACCTTGTCAGTCCACCTTGTAGATGTACAGTCAGAGACGATAGCTCATCTGCTGCTGCACAGTTTGTGTTGGTCATCCTCTAGTCCTTCATCAGTGGTCACAGGACGCTGCCCACAGGACGCTATTGGCTGGATATTTTTGGTTGGTGGACTATTCTCAGTCCAGCAGTGACACTGAGGTGTTTAAAAACTCCAGCAGCACTGCTCTGTCTGATCCACTCACACCAGCACAACACACACCACGTCAGTGTTACTGCAGTGCTGAGAATGACCCACCACCCAAACAGTACCTGCTCTGTGAGGGACCATGGTGGTCCTGACCACTGAAGAACAGGCTAACAAAGTATCAGAGAAACAGATGGACTACAGTCTGTAACTGTAGAACTACAAAGTGCACCTATATAGTAAGTGGAGCTGATAAAATGGACAATGAGCATAGAAACAAGGAGGTGGTCAGAATGTTATACCTGATCGGTGTATTATATTAGGTTATATTATATTAGATTATATTAGACATTTTTATTTATATATATTATATTTTAATAGTAGTGCTTTGAAGCTCAATCACATTAAAAACACAATAAAACGACGGGCTCCCGAGTGGCGCAACCGTCTAAGCGCTGTCCCTCATCAGGAGATCGCGAGTTCGATCCCTGGTGATGCTACAGCCGTCCGTAGCCGGGAGTCCAAGAGAGCACAATTGGCCTCGCTCTCTCTGGGTGTGTGGGATGGCCCCTCCTTCTCCCCCCATCACTCAGCGCGATGCTAGTCAGCGCAGGCGTCTGTTAGCTGACGTAACAGATCTGGCGGTTGGCGCTTTCCTCCGAGCGCGTTCGGCTGTCCAGTGACGTTGCGTGAGCGGCAGTTCGAAAAGAAGCGGTGGTGCTTCACAGGTCTCGGAGGAAGCCTGTGTTAGCCTTCACCCTCCTAGCGTTGATAGCACCGTGTGATTGGGGGAGTCCTAACTAGCGGGTGGAATTGGAGACGACTAAATTGGGGAGAAAATCGGGTAAAAATTAAAAAAAAAAAAACACAATAAAACATTTGAAACTCTCATGGCCACCTTTTAATGCTATTGCACATTTATTATGATTTTCAAATGTTTACTTAAGGTATTGGTTGTATTATTATTTTAAAGTTTATGCAAATAGTACATAGTGCTGCTTATTTTATTTGTGATTCTCAATATAAAACTTGAAGTGATTTCAGTTTGTGTATCAGTAGTTTGTGAACACTTTCAGCACATTTTAACATCACTGCGATACCTATACACTGATAACTAATCATTTTGGTCACTGATATTAAATTTTCATACCGTTTCATCTCTAGTCCTGCCCCTGGCCAGATGTGAAATGAATATTGATTTAATAACTTCCTTTTGTGTTTATCTTCTGCAGATTCTCCTGCCTCTGATAAATCAATACTTCAAGAACCACTGCCTGTACTTCCTGTCCACTCCTGCTAAGATCCTGGGCAGTGGGGGTCATGCGTCCAACAAGGAGAAGGAGATGATCGCCAGGTTAGTACTCACCTCTAACCTCACTTAGAAACGTGTGCAGCTGTTAGGATTTATGGTTTTAGAATTTTCATGCTTTTCTGTTTGTTCTGTATATGAATCTGTGTTCTGTATGATTTTGTCGTCATGGTGACGCCCTTTAGATCGTTCACTTTGAATATTTTCCACATTTTCCTCGTTTTCCTTCCTTCACTCTCTCCATCTTTTCCTTTCCTACTGCAGTATTTTCTGTAAGATGTCTGCTCTGGTCAGACACAGAGTCTTTCTCTTCGGTAAGATACCTGCACCAGTACTGCTGACGTTCTCTTCTGTTCTGCTCTGTTCTACTCTGTTCTACTCTGTTCTGTTCTACTCTGTTCTGTTCTGTTTTGTTCTATTCTGTTCTGCTCTGTTATGTTCTACTCTATTCTATTCTATTCTGTTCTGTTCTTTTTTATCTGTTCTATTCTCTTCTGTTCTATTCTGTTCTAGTCTATTCTTTTCTGTTCTTTCTATTCTATTCTGTGCTCTCCTCTTCTGTTGTCTCCTCTCCTTTCTGTTCTGTTCTATTCTATTCTATTCTACTCTATTCTCTTCTCTTCTGTTCTCTTCTGATCTATTCTATTCTGTGCTCTCCTGTTCTGTTCTATTCTATTCAGTTCAGTTTTATTCTGTTTTGCTCTGTTTTATGCTATTTTTGTTCTATTCTCTTCTGATTTGTTGTATCTGCTCTATTCTGTTCTGTTCTATTGTGTTCTATCTACTCTGTTCTGTTCTGTTCTGTTCTATTCTGTTCAGTTTGGTTCTGTTCTGTTCTACTCTACTGTATTCTTTTATTCTGTTCTTTTCCATTCTGTTCAACTGCATTTAATTCCAGATGCTGTTTTTCTATTCTGTATGCGATTATTCTTATGGATATTTTTACTATTCTATTCTATTTTATTCTATTCCTCCAGTTATAGTATTTTACTATTTGTCACCCATTAGTTTTATAGCGTTTCCTATTCTGTTCTATGTTTCTGTTTCTGTTTAAGTGAAGCAGGTAGTCGTATTATCTGAAGCATCTGAAATTTTGTCTGAATACCGTTTTGATCACTGTGTTTAGGCACAGACGCTCCGGCCATCGTTAACTGTCTTCACATCCTCGCACGCTCACTGGATGCCCGGTTAGTTTGTCACTGCTTGTATGTTTAAATTCAGTAACACATCAGCTGTTGAAAAATAGCTCCTGTCTCAGTCTGCGATTAGTCTTAGACTTGTCTTACTGCTGTGAGTTTCGGACCACGTGTGTAACTGCCGTGTTTGGGTCTGTCTCTGCAGGACGGTGATGAAGTCTGGGCCTGAGATCGTGAAGGCCGGGCTGAGATCTTTCTTCGAGAGTGCAGCTGACGACATTGAAAAGATGGTGGAGAACCTAAAACTGGGCAAAGTGTCGAAGGGCAACCAGGTACGGCCGCATGGTTAGCGCAGATGAGAGCATTAGAAGAATAGTTTACGAAAAAAAAAATGGAAATTTGATTTTTCACTGAAAAATTATTTCAAAGTCTGTGTCCTCTTTATGTTTTTTTATCTGTCTCAGCCAGTGAAAGGTGTGTCCCAGAATATAAACTACACCACCGTCGCCCTCCTGCCCGTCCTCACCTCACTGTTTGACCACATCGCACAGCACCAGTTTGGGGATGATGTTATATGTAAGTAATTATGC